GCTCGGATCGCGATTTAAACTATATAAGCGAGGTAGGGAAACTTCTATAGGGATATAACTAGTAAGTACGTCGGCTCCGATTCCTCCGATTTAATAGGGCTAGGGCTATTACTAGGGTCCTCTTTATCTTTATTATCGTACGTATCCGGAATCGTAGCGAGCTTAATATTCGGAAGATTAAGCTAGATTATAGACGTTATAATCTCCTCTATATACTCGACCCTATCGATACGATTAGCAATTTCAAAGATATATATAAGTAAATTATATATATAACGCCTTATATAATGTTCGATTATTACTAGCGTTATCTATAGTAATCGAGATTAGTTTCGTTATTACACTAACCCTATCTATTGCTGTATAAACAAGCTTTACTATATCCTTACTAGTATAGGAACCTAGAATTTTAGGGAATCCGATTATAAGTTCCTAGAGTTTCTAATCCGAATTAATAAAGTATAGTATAATCGAGAGGAGGGAGGCTCTTATAGTCTAGCTTAACTAGCTATCGATAGTAATAGCTACTCGGCGAGTATTACGGAGGATCTCCCGAATATCGTCTAACGTAGCCTCTTTGTTCTTTTCGAATATAGTACGCTAGGTTATCGCGCCGAGAAATTAGGGAAGGGGGTAGTTTATAAGATATAGGTATATCTTGTATATAGACTCCCTTTTGTAGAAGTCTTCCGGAAGGCCGTTTATAGCTAGCATTTCGTTTACTAGTTACTTAAAGTCTTCGGCGGAGAAATCGGTAGCCTTTAGTCCTTAAGCTTCCTTTAGCGCAGCCTATAATAATTAGCTAGATCTATACGGTTAATTATAGTAGCCGGCAACTATAACCGGCAGCTATAGCCGGTAGCTATAGCCGGCATTTTAGAAGACGTACCTCTTTCTAGAACGCTATATCTATATTAACCCTTATCTTTCCTTAAGATTCCCGATACCGTTTAGAATAGAGATAGTTAGTAGGCGATAAATTCTAATCCCCTAGTTTCGGGTATTTTAAGATTAAACCGCAGAAGTTATAAACAATAACTAGTTAATCTTTTAGTCGAGAACTCGTATAACGGTATAATATCCCTTCCGTAAAGAACTTCTAGAATATATCCGTTCGCTCCTTATTACCCTATCGTATCGAGCACTTCCGCAGTTTATACTCCTTTAAACGTAAGTATATAGGGAACTATATCTTATAGATCTATTAATTAAACTACTCGGTATACTCGGGTTTCTAAAGATACGCCTAGCTAGCCTTTTCGAAGATATCCGGGTTAATACTCGATGTTCTTATATCTCTAAATAACCTTCTACTTAGACTCCGTAAAGGTAAGGACTAGGTAGTAGTACCCTATAATAAATTCCTACTACTAGGATTCGGAGAGGATAAATCTAGCCCTAATCGTCGTCTAGTACTCGATAGGCTCGAAGGCGAGTATATAACCTCCTCTCGACGTTATCGCAATCTCGCTCGTATACTAGACTATTTCGACTATCGTCTCGTTATTACCCTTCCTAGTATAGCGCCTAGTATATATATAATATCGGTCGGCATGTTTTAAAGGTTTATACGGTAAGGTAAGGAGTAGTAGATATATACTAGTAGCTATAGGGAAACACCCTTTGTTTTATAGTATCGTATCGTTAGGAATAGCTAGGTAGTAGATAGCTAGCTACCTTTTTTTTGTTTCCTAGCTACCCTAGCTATCCTAACTACTAGAATTTTTTTCCTAGCTACCCTAGCTATCCTAACTATCTAAATTTTGCTTTCTATATAGCGGCTCTCTCCTACTAACGGGACCGAGCTACTATACCTAACGAATCTAAGCTCGTTTTTAGTCTTAATCTATCCTCTTTCGGTATAAGACACTCGATAAGCAAATGCTTAGGCCGAGTCTAACTACGAAACCTAATACTAACTAATAGCTCTATTAACTAATCCTAATCCTCGAACTCCTTCCGCTTCTTAGTAAAGACCTTAAAGAGCGCCCGAGCTTCGTCCGGTACCTACGGAGTAGTCGAGATAAAGCCGTATTACTAAAATAGGTAATCCTTCGGAGGCTTATATAGAGATTTAGAGAATTCTAACGCTAACCTATCCTACTAGTAGCTTAGATTCCGGATATAAGCCCTCTCTGCCTTAGTAAAGATTTTGTATAGTAGTAGTACTCTGCCCTCGAGAAACGCTTTCTATTTAAGTATTAGTATCTGCCGGCTACGAACGCCGGCTATATATACCGAGTATAGAATAATTACCTATACCCCTTTCTCCTTAAGTAACACTTCCGCCGTCCCTAGATACCTAGCCCCGACGATATTAATCGTAAGCTACCTTGCCTTTATAGACGAAAAGGCATCGCTCTAATACTAATAAAGAAATTTCTACCCTATATCGAGGACACAAAGACGACTAGTCTCGATTCCGATCCTTACTAGCTTTTTATAGTAGCTTTACCGATAATTTTCCAGATTAATAGGACTTATACCCTAGCCCTTTACTAGTACCTCGTCTCTTTAACTACACTCGATCTACTCCTAGCGCTTATCGTCTATAGCGTTAGGCCCTAAGACTACACCTACTACTAGATCGACGTATAGTATCTCCTCGCTTTTTTTAGTCCCTTTATTTGTAGTATTACACTCTTTCGCGGCATTCTAACCTCTAGTATTATTGTTCTCGGCTATCTAAATATCTCCGTTACTATCGGTCGTATCGATAGAGATAGCGGCTATAGGTCTAAATACAACGTCTTAAAGAAAAGAAAATGCTAGCTATAGCTACTAGCTATAGCTACCGGCTACGGCTAACTTACGCTACTAGAACTTTACGCTCGAAAACTAGACGTAATTCCTTCCTCCTCTAAGCCTTCTCTTAGGTTATCTTCTTATTCTAACCTTTACTTTTTTCTATAGGCGCTAGCTATCGATAGAACGCTTTATTTCGCGCCTTTCTTCTTTTATCTTTCGATCTTTTATCTTTATCTATCTTCTCCTTTCTCTTACGATCTTATATAGAATTCTTCTTCGTAGAGTACTCCTCTTTAGTCTTACGCTTTTTTCTTAGATACTTAGGTAAAACAAACTCGCGGTCTTTAGTTCTATTTTCTATTTAGCGCGCGGCGCGCTTCTCTCTTACTATTTTAAAAAGGGGAGGGGGGGGCGGGGGCGGGGGCGTAGCGTATAGTCGTTATTATAGGTATAGAGGAAGAAGTTAAAAGGTATAAGAATATCGCGAAGCCCTAATTGTTGCCGCCTACGTAACGTTATATAGGTAAGCTTTCGCAACTACGGCAACTACGCCCCGGTAACGGCAACTACGCCCTAGTAACAGTAACTTAGTTTTAACTACGCCCTAGTAATAGTAACTACGCCTTAGCAACGGCAATAGCTGTTATTAAGGCAACCGCGAGCGTAGTAAATATAACCTAGTTACTCTTATAGCCGGTAATCGTAGCCGGCAGTCGAATAAGAGTATCCTTATAGTAAAATATAGCCGGTAATCGTAGCCGGTAGTCGAATAAGAGTGTCCTTATAGTAAAACATAGCCGGCAATCGTAGCCGGTAGTCGAATAAGAGTGTCCTTATAGTAAAATATAGCCGGTAATCGTAGCCGGTAGTCGAATAAGAGTATCCTTATAGTAAAACTAATATAGTCTCTAGTTCGAACTAGGAATCTATATAGTTTAAAAAAACCAAACCGGAACTAGGGAGCTAGTTTACCGCTAAGAAACTAAACTATATACGTTTAGTAGTTCGCAAACCGAACTACTACGGGGTCTAAGTTACGGGAAACGTACGATAGATAACGGATACTGTTTATATAAGATTCTAGCGATTTTAGCGACTTCGAAGGTAATAAAGCTAGAGAGGTACTAAATCCTACGCTACTACTAAGTTAACTGCCCCCTCGACTAATACCTAACCTATTATTCCTTCCTATATCGTTATTATCGTCTTTAGTAATACCTATATAGCTAATACCGACTCCGACTCTACTATTAGAAAAAAGGAAAAGAGCTAGTAATAGGCGCGATCTAGAGTTACAGTTATAGTCTTATTCGCGGCCTCTAAAGGGTAAGGAGCCTAAGAGACTAAAGAATAGCCGCTATAAGGTATTCTATTATAGACACTATTTAAACAACGATCTAGAGCGCTTTTAGTTATAATCTAGTAACGCCGCTAAATACCTATTCTATAAGCATTAGATTATCGTTAGTCGTATAAAAGGCTAGACTATTTAGATCTAGCTTAGTTAATACTACAGTTAAAGTAATCCTACTAATAGCGGCGAGGGTTACGACGATAGCGGCTACTAAACAAGATCGGAGTACCTATAATAGTTATATCCACGGATCCTTGCGCAGATTACTTAGTTGAATTGTCGACTAATCCGATCCGATTCGCGGCGTGAATGCCGAAGCGAGATATTCTGTGAACAATTGCGTGAGAGGCGGCTTCTTCGCTACCACCTCTATTCTATCACTCCTGGGCAGTACCTCGACAGATTGAATTGTAGAGCCATCTTGCTTGCCCACGCCCACGCCCTTGACAGCATGACTAGTTAGCCTTCTGCAATAGCATCCATAGCCTGAAGGTCAGTATATCGGTGCGCCTTGCAATACAGTGCGTCCGGTAGTCTAGCGAGAAATCGCCAAGGCTAATACAATAGCTCTTGTGCACCTCGCAGTCTCCGTACAACGTCACTCTCCAACAGCCGCGTCGATGGAAGAATTCGATTGCTCACATCCTCCATTCGTGAGTGCCAAACTTCAACCATATGCGACAGCAGGGAAGAATCTGCTTGGACAGAGAGAGATGGATGGACAAAAGGAAATAATTATCGCCCGCACCAATCTTTTTTCAAGCCCGACACGCTCTGTTCGTTCCCGGCGCGGTCAAAGTTATCATGGATACAGTATCCCTTCGCGTGTCTTGTCTCACTCCATCGTGACGTCCTTGCAAGGCATGCGAGAAATGAGAAGCAGGGGCATCCACCCCCATCAGAGATCCCACCATCGCTCGTGCAGGTCTCGTAAGTCGTTTGCCTCTTCCAACCGCAGATACGGCGTCATGTCGCTGTGGGGATCTTCTTCCTTCGCCGTCTGCCCGTTGCCAAAGTACGCGAACCGATTCTCGGGCCGGATGTAGGTGTATTCGTAGTCTTCCCAGCGCGGCTCTCGACGGACATGGTTGACATGTGCTCCGCTTCCTGGCCAGTGTCCGTGAATGCGAGCGCCGGGACGACCGCCATTGCTCCACGAGGAGCACTTGAGGCTGATGTTCGTGCGCGGGAAAAAGGCGTCGCAGTAGCTGACAAAATCTGTTTGCAGACCAAGCATGAGCTACGCGGAAAAAAATTCCATTGGCCATCCAACTCACCGTCCGTCGCAGCTTTTGATGGGGCCATCGTTTTGATTCCTTGCGATGACATCTTGCGCAGCATCTTGGCCACGTAAGTGATCTGCGTCTCGACTGTGAAACAGGTTAGTTGGGTCGTGGGATGGACTTCCAGTTCGCACCGGCATGAGGAACAGTTCCAGTGGGACCAGCCGGGTTAGGGCCTGTCCATTGCAAGTATCAGCTGCAAGATCAATGCACGAAGAAGATGGATGTCACTCTGACCGAGCAAGTAGAACAAGTTAGCGAAGCTGCAGCGCGATCGTCAGCATGCGGGAGGTGTCAGTAGATTCGTGGGATCGATCCTTACCCGGGCGTCGTTAGGCCCAGATAGCTGTACGGCCTTGATCGAGTCAGCACCGATCGTGTACCATTCCGGGGGACGAGAGCCATACCAGCCGAACTTGCCATCGGGCCGCCAGTCACGGGAGAGGTCGTATTGTCCCGACACAATCGGGAAGGGCGGAGCATAGTGCACCTGTATGGATTTCAGATACTTGTGAGCCGATCTTCCCGCAGGAACGTGCAGTCCACCTACATTCGCTCCTGTGCTACAGATGATGGCGTCCACCTCTCGCCGCACTCCATCGATGGTGACGATTCCATCCTCGTAGAACCTTGCGGCGCCCCGATTAGCGACATACACACCACCTGTGCATTGCAGCCCTGTCGTACCGTTCGATTGGAGTCTGTATGAAGCTCAGGTTGTCCTTCGTGAGTGCTTCCAAGTAACCCGGTCCGGGTGTGAGCCTTCTGCAATGCGGTGGGAAATCTGGCACAAGGGTCTCCAGCAGCTCAGGCCGATCGGCTACCCTCTTCCTCATCATCTCCTTGAAGTTCTTCGTAGCCTGCTTAGTCGACTCCGAATCTCGCAGCTGGCTGTCGAAACCTCGGAAGAAGTTGCCTTCCAACGCTTTGCGAAATGTCAAGTAGCTTTCTGGATCTTTGAACGACTCCAGTTGCTCGGGGGAAAAGGACATGGGCGTGTTTTGGCGCTCCTTCAGTGCCGGATTGAAGTTTCCTGCAATCCATGTGCGACTGCGAGCATAGTGGTCTACGTGAGCCGCTACCTTCTGCAACTCCGTGGTAATCTGGATGCCGCTTGCTCCGTTCCTTCGCAGCATGGTCAGCTCGTCGTCGAGGAGAGTAAGATCACACCCACCCGATCGTGGCGATTCGCTTGCCAGTGGGGTCAAACCCCGGATCCCAGTTGCTTGAGTGACGAAGGTGGCCTTTATACGTCTCTGACAGAAGGTCAGTACTTCTTGCCGACAAGAAGGAAGCGAATGACACACTCAAGCCAGGATAGTCCGGCATTTTCCACTCATTGAAGTGCCCGATCGCCGTGATGACGAAGTCGTAGTAGGTGGTGTTCTGCGTATTGTCGTCGAGATTGGTCGACTCCACACGCCACTGACTTGTAGAGGCTTCCCAATACGCTCCCGTGACCTTGGTGCGGAATCTCACGCTTTCATAGACGTTGTACTTCCGCGCAACCGACGTCCAATACGCCAAGATCTCGGGTCCCTGGGCGTACTCCTCCGTCCAGAAAGGATTCGGTGAGAAGGTGGCCTGGTAGACGTGGGCGGGAATATCGCATCTCACGCCGGGATACACATTCTCGTCTGCGGAACTTCAGCACGAGTGCGTCGGTGAAATGTCTTTCCTTTCCGCTTACACCAAGTGCCTCCCACATCGGCGTTTTTCTCCAGCACAGTCAGATCAATCTTGGGGACTTTGGCCCTGAGCAGGATGGTGGCTTCGATTCCAGCCAGTCCTGCCCCAATGATTGCGACCTGGATTTGATGTATCAGCAGTCGGCACGCGCTGATGTTCCAGTCGCCCCTCCATACCTTCACAGCTCGAACCTCATCAATAGGGTGATCGCTGATCTGGAAGTCAGTCGGATGTGGATATACCCAAGTCTCGCTATCCTCGGAAACCCCCTTCACTGGTATCGTTCGGCTATCATTTGCATCCACATGATTGCTATTGATGACCGGGTCTACTTCGAGCAACCCCATGTTGATGTAGAATATCAGCCCGCCTTTCGTCCACGGTGACAATCAATACAATTCGATACCAGCTCTTTCGTTGTTAAAGGACCACAGGAACTGCCGAATGCTGGCAGGATAGTCGTCAACATGGATAGAATAGGGCATCCCGATGAGCCGAAAACAGGAAACCGACACCTCATTTCCCTTGTACGTCTGGCATGTGATTTTGCATTGCAATTATTAAGCATTCGTTATTCTATATGCATCACGCAATTCCGTCCCGCTTTGCATCACTCCTCAACCACCACCCCAGCCGGGAGCATGCCGGACATAAGCAGCTCTCGCTGGAAGGGAACGAAGAAGTTCCCTGATTTGGAAGGAAATCCACTCTGCACAAAAAGGATCTTGGGGGCGAGACATGACTTGGTAGATATTCACCTGACGCCGACAGCGGACTTGTGCCTGTTCCTATGATCGCCGGCCTCGATAGGCCAACGACCAGCTGGGTAGTCAATCCAGCAGAACTTCGCCCTTCGACGCTGTGGATATTCTCGTCAAATCTCTGATGGGAAGATGGCTCAAGTTGCTGCGAGGATAAATAATGAGCCCATGGCTGCTTTCGACCACTCGGGCTTGGAGATTGGAGAGGATGTCGACTGGGGGAGCGCGACACCAATCAATCACGTCGCCGAGGTGATCAGCGACAGCAAACTCAAAAATGCCATTGCGAAATGCACGGCGAAGTCGATGCTGCTGCAAGGAGATGTGGATCAGCGTCTGCCAGCACGTCAATGCGCTCTGGTATTGCACGCCCTCAAGCAGCGATTCGTCCTAAGCCAGAATCACCCGGTCCCAGAAGTCAAGAGACCGGACGAGTTGGTCGTGGAGATTCGTGCGATCGGCCTGAATCCCATCGATTGGAAATCGGTCGACTTTGGCTACGGCATACCGACTTTGCCTTATGTCGCTGGTCGTGACTTTGCAGGCGTGGTCGTCAAAGCTCCTGCCGCACCGAGCCATATTCAACTTGGGGACGTGGTGCTGTGTGCTTCCACGGACTATAGGGACCAACGGAAGGCAGCCTACCAACAGTATGCGATCGCGAGCCAGCATACCGTCTGCCGATTACCTGGACACGTACCGATACCCCAAGGAGCGGCACTCGGCGTCGCGTACATTGCAGCAAGCCTGGCGCTTGGGGTGTGCTTGGGGGTCAAGTTACCAAAAGCAGGCTCTGGAAAAGGTGTGGCGAGTCCCGATATCAGAAGAATTGTCCGAAGACAGCGCTTAGAAGATCTACCCCCAGATCAGGTCGCCGAGTGTCTAGCAATGGATGAGAAGGATCTCCCAAAATCAGGCGAGTGGATGGTGATTTGGGGAGGGTCCTCAACAAGCGCACTCTTCCTCTCGCAGCTTGCTGGACTGGCAGGTCTCAAGGTCATCCTAGTGGTGGATGTAGCCAAGCATGGAGCCAGGATGGTGGAGTCGAACGGAATGCTTCTAATCGACAGCCACAACACCGATCGAGCGAGCCAGATCATTCGAGGCGCGACGGGAGGAAAGCTGAGATTGGGGATCGATACCGTTGGGAAGCCCACAGCGGAAGCTCTTGCGAAATGCTTACGGCCAGATGGCGATAGAAAGGCACATATCGTGGGTCTCGCGGCCTTGCCGAAGGAGAGACTGCCCGGTGTCGTCTACCACTCGGTGCCCGTGAAGCTATTCCATGAAGTGCCGGAGGTCGGGTCCAGCCTGATGGGATGGCTGGAACAAGCATTGCAAAATGATGTTTTGAGCCTGCCTGCTGTGGAGACCGCGCCCGGTGGACTGGAAGGCGTAAATGCTGCGCTGGACCGAATGCGTCAAGGCCAGATTTCGGGAAAGAGACTCGTCGTGCCGTTGATCTCGTGAAAATGGATGACTTCGAAGGTGGATGAAAAGGAGATGAACAGAACGCGCGGGCTTCGTCTCGAGGCTGTGACGCGGTGTATGAGATTGCCATAGAACAACAGACAAGATCCGCCGGATTCACAGCTAATACGTAGCGGTATGCAAACTCCTATACCTCAACGCCGGATGCCCCTCCCTAACCCTCGGCCCCTTCCCATCCTGCAAGAAATTCTCCCGCATACTGGCCCCAGCATACTCCTCCTGCAACACCCCACGAGCCCTTAGCTCCGGCCAAAGGAACTTGATCAGATCCTCAAACGTATGCGGCGTGGTAGCATAACTCACATTAAACCCATCGACATGACCCTCGCGAACCCACGTCTCCAAAATATCCGCGACCGTCTTCGCACTTCCAATCGCTCGGCCATGCGCTCCGGAAATCGCGAGCTGTTCGAGAACGTGTTTCTTCGTCCATTTTTGGTCTTTGAGGCCGGGGACTGTGGCTGTCCAGCTGTTTATCATGGATTGAATGGCTGGTGGGCCGTTGAATTGGAAGTCTTCGTCGTCGGAGAATTTGGAAAGATCGGTGCCGGTCCAGCCGCCGAAGAGGGAGGCTGTGCCTTCGAGGTCGGCGTATTGCATGAGGTTTTGGAATTTGGTTTGAGCTTTCTCGTCGCTTTCGTCGACTACGATGAAAATGCCGGCGATGAATTGGACGGAGTCTGGGGAACGGCCTTTTGAGATAAGGAGTTCTTTGGTGGAGTCGACGATCTCTCGCGTTTTTTCTGGTACCATGCCTGGTATGAACATGGCTTCTGAGTGCTCGGCTGCGAAGTCTTTGCCTGCTTTGCTTGCCCCGGCTTGGAGGAGGAATGGCGTGCGTTGCTTCGATGGGCCAACAAGGTTGGGACCTTTACATCTGAAGTATTTGCTGCAACAATCAGCTTTTGCTCCGTTGCAGTCATGACTCTACTTACCCGACGTGGTTGATGTGATGGACCTTATCAGGGTTGGTATAAACGCCAGTCTCCTTATTGGCTTCAACAGCATCATCCTCCCAGCTACCTTCAAGAAGCTTGTAGAAAACCGATAGGAACTCATCGGCCATCTTGTACCGCTCATCGTGTTCAACGGTCTGCTCAAGACCATAGGACTTCGCGGCACTTTCAAGGTAGCTTGTGACAATATTCCACCCCACACGTCCGCCAGTGGCATGATCCAGTGTTGAATACTTTCTCGCCATCTGGTAAGGATGCTCATAAGATGTCGAAGCAGTCAGCCCAAATGACAGACCCTTAGTAGCGTGCGCCATCGCCGGGATCAGAAACGCCACATCGAGATGAGGTACCTGAGCAGCAGATCTGAGAGCAGGTCCAAGACCATCGTGGTCGTCCTTGTTATAGACGTCGTATATGCCCAGGACATCAGCAAAGAAAATCCCATGAAACTTGGCGTCGTCAAGCTTCTTCGCCACTTCCACCCAATGTTCCAAAGTCTGCGGTTCCTGATCAGGATGTTTCCACAGCCCTGCATGGCATCAGCATAGGTACATGTGTCTCGGCTGCAGCTCTGCAGATAAGTCTTGTTTCCGCCTACCCGGGTTCAGATGGCCAGGAGCAGCCATGGCGAAGGCGTTGAAGATCCACGGCCGCCTCGCAGTGCCATTTTCACCAGAGACAGACATGGTCTAGAAATGGCTCGGACTAGGCCTGGATATCGAGCAGCAAGTTATGTGAAGTTCGAAGGTGATATGGCCGCATCGATCAAAACCACTTCCATCCAGATCCAAGACTATGCATCTGGGCATCAGTAACCTTGAGATGGCGATATCGCAGACTGAGCTTGAAATGTGACAATCAAGGTTCGGCTGGTCGGTATACTGTCTGCCGACCGTTCGGTGTCGAGATGTGAAGGAGCGAACAAGCGGGGGCTTCACGAAGGCGTGATCACTCCCCGGCTTCACGTCTTCCTCCTCAACAAATCCAACGACTCCATTCTGTGATCACAGGGAGGTTGAACATCGTCGGCACGTTCCAACAGCGTGGCATCCACATGGCAGATGCTTGGGACAAGCGTGGCGCTCAACTTTACGAGTCGAGACGTACATACCGATCATCAGAAGCAAATCGTCTTTTAGATGCCGAAGTGCTCCAAAGTCCTGACTCCTGACGGAATACCCCAGAGTGATGGCGTGCGAGCTGGAAGAGGAATTTGGAGAGGATCCTTACCAAGATAGTGTCCTTGGGTGAGGCTGGTTTATAGACAGCGATAGACCTACCTCCCGGTTCTCGTAGATTGCATGTGCACCGTCGATCATTGACTGCAGCTTCACTTCCCAAGAATTTCCCATCCTGATCTCGTCATTGAGCACCCTACGCAACATTCGCTTGACTGAGTCGACTCTGCAATGGCGGATGAGAAGCGTCCAAGCAGCTTCGAGGCGACGAGCGAGCCTGCTTCTGACACTCCGAGGGCACCAGTCAAGGTGAAATGGAATCGATCGACGCTGTACAACGCCTTGATCTTGGGCGTATGCAACTTTTGTGCACCGGGAATATGGGGTGCAAGTAGGTGCACGCGCAATGCACGAGTATGTTAACATGCTGACCCCTTCAACAGTGAACTCGCTTGGCGGTGGAGGCCAGCAAGATCCATGGCTTGTGAACGCCGCCAATGCTCTCACCTTCTGCTGCATGGTGCTCACTTGTGCTTTCTCCGGAGTCTTCGTGAAATACCTGGGAATCAAATGGACACTCATCCTCGGAGCTGCGGGATACTGTCCTTATGCTGCGGGACTCTATTGTAACAATCGATACGGTAGCTCATGGTTCGTGCTGCTGGGCGCCACGCTCTGCGGGCTAGGCGCTGGGATATTCTGGATGGCAGAGGCTGCGATCGCGTTGTCCTACCCCGAACCTTACAACAAAGGCAAACTTCTGGGCATTTGGCTCTCATTCCGCATTGCCGGGCAAGTGCTCGGAGGAGCGATCAATCTAGGACTCAACGCAGAGCGCAATCATGCGGGATCGGTGTCATACTCTGTGTTCCAGGTGTTCATAGCTCTCCAGGCACTCGCGCCCTTTGCCGGCCTGCTCTTGACCGTGCCGCACAAGGTGCAGCGAACGGATGGAGTCACTGTGTCTTGCTCCATCAGCAAGGACGAAAGCATCCGGAAGGAGCTTTGGGCTACAGCGAAGCTCTTCGCCGGCAGGAACTTTCTCCTGGTCATCCCGCTCATCTCTCAGGCGGTCTTTGCAGAAGCCGTCTTCTTCACCTTCCAAGGCTTATGGTTCACGGTTCGTGCGCGTGCCCTCGGCTCTTTCTTGTCCGGATTGATGGCCATGGCGGCTGGCAACATTCTCGGCCTCTTCTTGGACAACAAGAAACTCGCTGTCAGGCTTCGCGCACGCGGTTCGTTTGCGCTGATCATGACCCTTCAAGGAGCTTGGTGGATATGGGGGACTGTCCTCGTCACACAATACAACAAACGCAGGCCGGTATATGACTGGGTCGATGTAGGCTTCGGAAGAGGCTTCGCGTGGTTCCTATTCATGGTCGGCTCCTTCCAGACCAACTACATGTACTTGTACTTCGTCGTGGGAAGTCTGGCCAAGAATGATGCTGAGATTGTGAGGTATGCGGGCCTTCTGCGCGGAACCGAGTCGGCGGCACAGGCTGTATCGTATGGTCTTGTGAGCGTCAGTACTATGGGCAGGTTTGGCTGCGTATATCTCAACTTCGCATTGTGGGCGGTTTCCATTGTTCCCGCTTGGTTCGTGATCAAGGACATCGGCATTCGAATAGGGTACATCAGAGACAAAGTTGAGATCGATAGTCATTCGTCGTAGATGTCGAAAAAAAAACCGGCACTCGGGAGAGAAGTCTTGGCATCGGCCCCAGTTGGTGAGGGATCTCTTCCGTACTCTCACGGCTTCAATGCTCCTACAGAACCAGGCGCAATTCTGCTGTCACTGCCCAAGGCCTCCATGAGCTGTTTAAGTCGCCATAACATCCCCCAATGAAGCTACGATCGTTCACGCCGATTCCGAACTACCGGCCTCAGCCGCTGCATGTCGAGAACGGGATACCTCAGGCTCAGAGAAGAGCACGCAGCCTTGCGAGCAAAGAGCATGTTATAGGATAGTACATACGGCGTTAGCAAGATGGTCTGGTCTTCTTCTAAGCCTGAAAGCCAAGTCGAGAATACAGGGCCGCCCAGAAAGAGCTTCTGCACGCTCTCCACCAGGACAAGACGAACGAGCAATCTCCTAAGATCTCTGCGCCATATGCGTATGCTTGTGGACTGGAGTGGCATTGATCGAAGAGATACCCACGCAAAGAATTCCTACGTGCAATCCTTGCTGCATCAGATCCCACCTTATAAACCATCTCCTAGAAACCTCGAAGCAGCACCGATATGGCTACTGAAGTGAATCAGTAGCAACACGAGAATATCTTAGAGACTTTGATATTGTTCATCACTAAACATTATTAGAAAAAATGTTTCCATAAAGTAAGCCGCCCCGAGGACCTCGGGAAGATCATATCAGGCTACGGGCCATCAGGCTTTGATCAATGACGATATGGGCCCGAGCATTCAACGACCTTGCTGCCAGAAAGGCCTTGAAAATCGACGAGGTGGCGGGTCGGGTTCAGGCTCTTCAATAAAGCTTGCGGCGAGACTGATATGTCCACGCCCTCCTTCGACATCGATATAACAGGGCTGCAGCGTCGGCAGACTCCATCACACGGTCGTGGTTTCAGCGGCTGCAGCGTTTGTGGTAGTGTGATGGTGGCTTTCATCCGCATGCGACGCTCGAGGAGCTTCAGTTGCAGCAGCAGCAGCAGCAGTGGGCACCTCTTCCTTGGGCTCCCGAATAGGGCCACTGGTGCTGTCATGATGGCGATGATTGTATGCGAAGTCCTCATCATAGTCACGAAACTTGAGACCGAGGCGGCCAGGGTCAATTTTCCGATGAAGAAACATGAAAATCATCGAATAGAAAGGCTTGGCGAGCATGTCGCAAACGCCGTAGTAGACAGCTTCGGAGTCAGGCGCAATGAGATTGCCGCCTTCGGATACGCCCCAGCCGATGGGGTAACAGATCCAGATGATGAATTGATAGATGGCAATCATCAGGTAGACTCTGTGCACGTCGTGGCCCAGATGTTTGGCATACTTCCGCCCTCGTCCGAAAAGGCCCCCAAACACGTAGAGGAAGGCGGCGCACCCGAAGGCGAAGAATCCCCACTTATACACTGTCTCGGTGACGGCTCCAACGAGGCCGCATACGATCATGACTTCGTTCATGAAAACTATAGCAATTTTAGCTAATCTCTTATTATATGAACCTCCAATCGGGAACTTACGAATGAATAACAGCGTTGGAGCCGGAACGCCAGCAGTCAGAAGCATAGTCAGCAGGAGGAGTGGCGTCGTAACGAACCAGTCGACATAACGTGTCCAGAAAATTTGTCGATTGTCGCCTCGAACTTTCGGGTCATTTGGGCGGTACAGCGAAGGGCTTGGCTGCACACCGATAGGCGTGAATCCGAGATCTGAGCCCATAGCATAGTAGGAAATGCTCGCGACGAAATTCGCTCCCGCGAGCAGGTAGAAGAAAAGGCGGTCGGTACGAGGTCGAGAGTGCGATGCTAACAAAATTACGAGTCCAACGGAGCCCATGAATGCCGTTACAGCATAATAGAACTGTGCTGTCATCAGCTTATTGTAGTGATCCTCCAGCACGATTGGGACTTACGCTGGATCCGGCGCTAGTGATGTGGATTTGAGCTTCTCTGTTGTTGGCGATTGGAGGATTGTCAGATACAGCGCTGTTGCGCTTCGTGAGGAAGTCCATGTTGCGTTGATTGGGTGTCTAGACGGACGACAAGTGCGCCAGAAAGAGACACAGGAATTGACAACGGCATGCTCGGAGCGGACACGACTTCTCTATATCAGTAGTATCTTAGACCGAGCCGTGTTCTCAAAGAGTTCGCACATGAGCCGAGACGTCTATCACTGTTTCAACGCAGCAAGGATGCTAGAGTCCGTAGCAGCCTCGGACTGTTTGACTTCGGTGCCTGACAGCATGACAACGAGCCGGTATATCGCAAGCCAATCATGGGCTGTTCAGAGTCAAGCAAAGCAAGAAGACAACCAGAGACCGAGAGACGTCCAAGTAGTCGAAGGAGACGTCCATATGAGGCTGCTTCGCTTAGTCCTTCAATGAGAACCCAGCCAAGGTATTCAACAATAATAATCAAGGCTCCACTTGTCGCGTACGTATTGCCAAGCTACCAATGTCGCCTGCACTTGCTTAGTAGACCAGGACTGCCAGCCAGCATCACTCAGAGGAGCCGAGCGACAGGAGCCGAACGGAGGGAGGTCTCTGCCATGACCAGAACTGCCTGTGAACAGGAAGACGTGACGTGCTGTGCTTTGTCTCAACGGACGTCCAGAACCTGGCTCGGAGGAGCTTGGACTCCAAGAGCGCACACGCTGGGATGGGAGCTCCGCAGGTTAAGCATGGCCATGGATATACGTACGTCCTCAAGAAGGAGCAAGCGGTGGGGAGGATGCAGCACGAAACGCCAAGCACTCATAGCTCGGTCACCTGGCGACAAAAGGCCGTGACTTTGGCGGCGATACTAGGCAGTCAACCCAAGTCACTTACCCAGACAGGACATCAGATTGTATGCCGGACCGTGATAGCTTAGAGATGCAGCGTGGCCGTCGTCTGGTCTACCCGCGCATCAGAACAGAGTTTGACTTCACGTCTCGAATGCCGTCCGGGTCGCCGATGCCCGACACGATCTTCCGTGACAGGTTCGCCAAGGAATGCGTGTTGTGGTGAGTTGGCTTTTGAAACCGGGGTATGCACGAGTTGAAACATGAGTCGAGCGCGGGTTGGCGAAGGACGTGTAGACCGACCTTCAAGGCTTGGGAATGACTCGCGGTTTGAAGCATAGCATAGCGTAGCATGGCATTGCTGCTGCTGAACTGCATTCATCATTGAGAGGACAAGTAAGCAGCTGTCCGCGTGACTTGTCGCTTGTATTCCTAGGTAATGCTTTTCTCAAGCCTCCGGAGTAGCGTCGTGGGCTTGCATCGTCGACGAAACCTGAAGGAATTCTGCATGACGTGGCAGCTATGCGTATGGTCCACGAAGGCGAAAAATGCCAGAATTAGATGCATTTGTCGGATGTGGAAAGAGGAAGAGGAAGATGAAGCTGCGGTACGAGATTTGAGTAGGGAGGCCCATACGTACCAGATTGTCAATACAGCACTTCTGACCGTAGCGACAACAACGCAATCTTTGCTCCTTCAAGTTCTTTTTAATATATCTTTTTATATAGAGGAGTTATAGCTTAACAATATAGAACAAAAATACTTCAATTTGTATCTATTTTTAGAAAATAATAAAATTTCTAGTCGTTACCTATTGAATTTATAGACTATATAGCCTAAAAGTCTAATTTAGAAGTTTAACAATTTTAGCATTTTTGAGGCCTTAGCATACTATTTTTAGTAATCTAAAATCTAGATCTTATAGTTTTACCTTATAAAAATCTAAATCTAAATTTATATATTAGTATATAAACTATTAGTAATATAATCTAGAAAGGAATATTATTTTCTTACTATATTCTCGTTAGTTTATCATTTTATTTAGAAGAGCTATAGCTTAGTAATATAAGACAAATATACTTTAACTCTTATATATTTTTAGAAAATAACTAAAACTATTATAGCTATCTACTGAGATTAGCCTAAAACTCTTAGGTAAAGATTTTAAGATTTTAGTATTTATTAAGCCTTAATATACTATTTTTAGTAATCTAAAACCTAGACCTAAAAGTTTTACCTATTATAAATATATTTTAAGATTCTTATTTTAATACGCTTACTATTAGTCTTAAAATCCTAAAGCGAATATTCTTAACAATTGTAGGCTTAGCAATTTAAAGTTTACAATTCTTAAGAATATTCTTTTCTAAGTTATAAGACTATTTATAGCTTATTTAAAGTAAAAGCTCTAATATAGATTTCTACTAGGTAAAACTATTAGGTTTAGGTTTTAGATTACTAAAAATAGTATACTAAGGCTTAAAAAAAGCAAAAGTCTTAAAATCTTTATTCTAGAATTTTAGGCTAATCCTAGTAGATAGCTATAATAATTTTAGTAATTTTCTAATACTAGATTAAAAACAGATTATTTTTGTCTTATATTACTAAGCTATAACTCGTCTAAAGAAAAAGATATACGAAAGGGAACCTAAGAAGAATTTAAGTTTTAAATTCTAGATTATATAACTAATAGTAGCTATATTACGAGAGAAATCTCAAAATAGATTTTTATTAAGTAAAACTATAAGGCCTAGTTTTTAGATTACTAAAAATAGTATATTAAGACTTAAGAAAACGCTAAAATTCTAAAATCTCTAACTTAGAGTTTTAAGCTATATAGCTTATTAATTTAGGAGGTAACGACTAGAAATTTTAATATTTTCCAAAGATATACATAAATTAGAGTATCTTTGTCCTATATTATTAAGCTATAACTCCTCTAGATAAAAAGATATATTAAAAAGAACTTGTAGGGGCAAAGATTGCGTTGTGAATTCTTCATTGACAATCTGGTGTGTATGGAGCTCCGTCTTTGAGGCGAGCGCCAAGCCATGACATGACGGACCCGGGTCTTGCACGGGGGAATGACCGAGCCACCAGCATTCTTCCAAACCAGATCTTCGTAGTCGCCGACCCACATACTCTCCAACACCCTCTCCTCCCTATCCAGCCTCACCAAACACCCCAAAGCCGACCCATTCATAGACGCTACGCGCTCGGCCGACCTGATATTTCTCGGACCTGCGTAGCATTGACGATGCTACGTGTATGCTGTTCAGACTGCCGGCGCATATCGGGGACAATGCCACCGGGAGAATGAACTGAGCAGCACGAGGAAGACATGATCCACAGCTTGTGCGAGGAAGCACATGCAAGAGATTGGGTTCCTCGGTTCTTGGGTGGATACTGGATACGATGAACGCGCAACGGCGCCTATATATCAAATGTAGGCGTCACGATATCACACTATCCTAGAAGCTCTCGTCCAGCGACTGCGGTCTGGAAAAGGCCCAACCAGCGAAGTGCCCAGCATTAATTGGATGGTATATACCAGAGCCAAAAGAAGCGATTTCGATTCGTGGAATACCCCTGGATGGTCTTCCAACGAGCTTTATCCTTACTTGAAAAAGGTACTTTCGATCACCGTTCATTTCCAGTGCGAAAAGCTGACCTCCTCCAGTTCGAGACTTATCACGGGCATTCTTTGGGCACGTGTAAGATGGCGCCGAGGGAGAAGGGAGGGGTGGTCAATGGCACGCTAGGAGTATATAGGATCCAGAAGTTGAAGTTGGCGGATTTGAGCGTGCCGCCGGCGAATGTTGGGGCGAATACGAACAATACTGCGCTGATGATTGGGGAGAAGGCGGCGGATGTTTTTATGAAGGAATTAGGGATCAAGGCTGCCTAGGTTGTAACTAGGTCGATTGCTAGAAATTTTCGAGTTTGGGTGTTGGGTGAGGTTTTGAAATCGTTCGACTTTGCTGGCTTTTTATAATTTTTTACTAACTATAAAGTACTGCCTCGCAAAAACTTTTGCCTCGGTCGTAATGCCGTCGGCTATCAAGTTAGACTAGAAGTAAAGCTCAACACGATTAAAGCGTTCACTTACTCGGGCAATCATGCCGTTGGCACCTCTTGTCGCACTCATGACCAATCGCTTGCTGTCGATCGGGAATTGGAATGTGACTGACTCGAATGACCATCAAGCATTCTCGCCCGTACGATACCAAGTGTCTCGACTGGGAGTGGGTAGCAGTCATCATCTTAGCAGTCCTCCTGACAGCCGTGACCACGAGCCTCATATTATCTTTGCTGCATAGGATCTCACCCGGTTCATCATTGCAAGCCACTCTCTACCAATCACCCTTCGCCCTCCTCAGCCCCGAAATCTCCAAAATCTCTCCAAACCTCTCATTCCCACGCTTCACAAACCTAAACGGCACCTTGCCAGCCCTCATCTGAATCGTAATCACAGTACCCATACCATTCCTCAACAACTCTCTCGCTCTCGCATCAGCTTTCTCCCAAGCCGCGATCTTCTCCGCTTGGGAAGCCTTCTCGAACTCGGAATCGGAGAGATAATCACTGACGTCCAACTCCACGGACCAGGTCTTGAACATGACGGCCAGAACAGCGAGGATCTCGACCTGCGCGAATCGTCGCCCGAGACATGAGCGGTAGCCTTCGCTGAAGGGGACGTACGCTCCCTTGGGGGGTCGGTAAAGCGATGCGGCAGTGTCGGGACGTTGATCTGGGCCGTCGAGGTCGAGACCTTCTTCTTTGTCGTACGTGTCGTCTTCTGTATTGCTGTTTGTCTTTGAAGGATCGAGAAGCCAACGCTCGGGGCGGAACTCCGAAACGTCTTCGAGGGAAGTGTGGGGCCAGTACTGAGGATTACGATGGACGGCTGCAGTATTCAAAGTCACGTAGCATCCTGGAGGTACAACGACATGTCTTCCGTTGAGATTGAGTCCCTGTGGCTTGTCCTTGGCAGTGCACTTGGGGATGCCAACGACAGGGGCGACCAGTCTCAGCTCTTCGTTCATCACTGCACCGCACATGCTGCCAAACAGTTTCGGCATATCTTTGTCATAATCCCACTCCGAGACTGGACGATCACCGAGGATCCGGTCCAGATCGTCCTGCAAATGCTTCTGCGAAATCATGTGCATGGCCAGGAAGAGTGTCGAGAAGTGGATCGTGTTCGCTGCGGTTTCGTGGCCAGCGAGAATGAAGACAAAGGAATTGCCCATGATTTCTTCGTCAGTCAGTAACTGCTTGGCTTGAGCTTTCTCCACGTCGCTGTTTAGGACGTCTTCTGTTTGGCCGGAACCCTTGACAAGTGCTCCCATGAGGTCCATGCCTTCTGTGCTCTCTCCGCGCTTCACTTCTTTGCGCTTCTCCTCATACATCTCACGCATGTATTGACCCCATTCCGTCAATGATCGTTCGGCTCGCTTGAGGCCTTCAGAAGGAAGCCGCTTCATAAGCCATCGAGGAAGCAGCATGAGCGGGATCAAGCTATGAAGAAGCGTCTCGAGAGCATCCTTGTAGGTCATGGTATGTCCTGGGGGAATGGCGGTGACACTCTGCTCATGAGGCCAGAAGAGCTTGACTCCGAACCCTGCCCGACTGATGACATGCAAGGACAAACGCATTGCCTCGGTGGCGACGGTCCATATCGTGCCGCTGTCAGTCTTATTGCCGCCGACCCAGCCAGCCATCATACTCTCGGCCTGCTCAAGAGACTCCTTCCACACTAGACAATTGTTCTTCTCGGTGAATGGAGGACTGGTAATCTTCCGGTGATGGCGCCAGTTGGCACCCTCCGTGGACACGACATTCTTGCCAAACAAATCGACGCTGGTATACAGCCATGTCGGCTTAGGAAAATCATTCCGTCGGGCAGTAATTTGGCTCGTGCAATCTGCATCTGCCACCAAGAGAGTGTTGGCGCCAGGAGCCACCAACAAGATGATGTCAGTGCCAGGCGCCTTGAAGAGGCCCTCATATTTCTTATCCCAGGGGAACTCAGGAACGAGGAAGTCAATCCAGTCTTTCGTCCATGAATGAGGCAGCTTCCGTATGAAGGGCAGCCATAGCTTGTGGGTGACCAGCCAGAAGCGGTTGAATGTGTATATCGGGATCGCAATGTATGGGATTCCGCTCTGTTTCGCGAGCGCCAGGTTCTTTTGGAAACATCGTACCGTGTTCGCGATGTAAGTCACCACGACGGCGATGCAGCCAACAAGCACAGCGTAGGGGATCATGGGTGAAGATGTGCTCAGCAGGAGATGGAGTGCAGATCTCAAGACGATCTACAAGTGAATAAGAATGGCTTGAACAAGTCGTTGCGTCATGTCGTTCACGTTCCTTCCACGAGTCAGACGGGCGGCTATGAGGTCGAGTAATGCTTTCTCCGTGGATAACAGTGGTCCAGAACAAAGCACAGTTTTACGAGTCCTGTGGACCTCCAGAGAACAAAGCGTGGGCTTAAGTTATTGACCAGCAAAAGTCCAAAAAGCTCGTCCGATAAAACTTGACGCCACCGACAAGCGGCGCCCAGTGTATCGGATATCCTGATTATTCACTCACCCACGATCATCCAAAAGTCAGCGCCGACCCACCCGCCTTGCCGCCAAGCGACTCCTACCATCCATTCGACTGCCCATTCTTTTCTGTCTGCCCTCTGACGTCTCGTCACATCTCGCTAAGCAGTCATACGTCGATCTTCAGTGATGATCCCGGCACCGCATCCGTCGCAACGATGAAACCTCTAGTGATGGGGTCCACAAACCTGTGGATGGTGTACACGCTCTGTAATACACTATGTATACGACCCTTTCAGGCGAGCTCGTTGTGTATATACAAGGCGGAGTTATCGGATACGCTGATATCCCGCCTACAACCCGCCAAGCTGCTTAATATTGCTCGGATATCCTGGTATTCGGGTATACCCGATGTGTATCCATGGGTGTACACCAGTATAATATACTATGTACACAACCTCCATTTCTCAGGGGCTGTAAACCCACAACACTAGAAACCTCGCCTGAACAACTTTCACTCACCTCGCTACCACCATGCTGGTATGACCCACCCGAGTGAACCCTACCCTGTCCCGACGGGCAAGCGATCTCACGCGTGCAAAGCTTGGTGCTCGCTTACGCTCCCCAGTGCCGCCGCCGCATCGCAAACCTGTCAGATCATCCGACCGCTACTAGCAAGCAAAGCAAATAATGTGTGTATTGTATTGCACACACGCTGCCACCGAGCCTATCATTTGCCCCAGCCCTGATTGCTGGCTACCGGATGACCGTACTGTACAATCCTCGACGTGGGTGATGAAAAAAGCAAATAGACGACATCCGAACCCCGTCGGCGTCCTAGGGATAACTTATTTCGGTGGAGTAATAGACTCAGAGCATGCTTTCCCGTTTGCTTGCAGTAGTAGACTTGACAGTAAGATTCTACTTTCGCGTCGCGTCTACTACCTTCTTCTCCGCTTTCCGTCCACAAACAATCACTTGTTCCTCGATGATATCTACTTCGCAAAAAATGTGCATCTTCATTCAAGATCCCACTACTCAGAAAGAATCACGTCCAAAGATGGACAGACTTTACGAAGTCACTCAATCCACAAACCATCACCAGGCTCCCTTAATCCAAAGCGATGAGCCGATACAAGAGGGACCATATGAGAAATTCCTCCAAACAATCTCAGACGACATCATGCACTACCTATCGACGCATCAATCCAAGAAGCAGACTCAGAATCAAACTCCTTCCTGCCGAAATCGCATATCAAAAACGAAAAAGAAAAGAAAAAACGACAAGCCTCCAAAACTACCTAAAACGGAATGAAGGCACATCTCTATAATCCTCATCAACATCAACATCGGATCATCTCCAGCACGTCAGCGCTCCCAACATCGACCATGCATTCTTCTCTTCGCATCGCATCGCACCTCACAATCCACAAACCTTTGATACCACCAACCATCCCACAAACAAAACCTTGCTTTCTCTCTAGCCAACCAACCCTACAAGCAAGCAAGCAAGCAAACAAGCAAACAATCCTATCCGATCCATACGAAGAAGAAGAAGAGAAAATGCGTCTCGAGTCGAATCCCGACCTAGAGAGAGAGAAAAAAAAATCCCATTATCCATCGAAGAAACAGTACCTTGTCTAACAGCATAGACGGACAAAGAGAGAAGAAAAAGAAAAAAAAAACTTCTCTCTCTCTCTCTCTCGGTCTCCTAGTAGATAGATAGACACAAATTCAATCTTCTTATAAAACAACCGGATAAGGATCTCGGTAGTGATAATAATAATGAGAGTTCGATTATTAGCATGCTTTATCGAATTCATTATATAACCTCTTAAAAGAATCCTAGGATATATAGATCCTAGTTAGTTAGGGCAAGGGGGCTAGAAAGAAAAAAGGGCAAGGAGTTAACCGATAATAAGAAAAGCATAAAGAAAGCCGACTCTTATTAAGATTTTTTATACTATAGGAATAAGAATAAATAATAAACGAAGAAAAAAAGATAAAGGGGTAAAAAAAAGAAGAAGAAAAATTCCCTTCTAACAACAAAATCTATAAAAGAATAGAAGAATAAATATATATATAACTATCGCACGTTATATAAGTAGACCTACTATAGAGATCTTAATACAATACAACACAATACAACCTCCCTATCTTTCCCTATCTAGCTATCTAATATAAATATCTAAAAAAAAAAAATTAAGTAATGGCAGCATCGCATCTTAGCGAAAAAAAAAATCAAAAAATCAAAAAAAAAAATCAAAATGGTATCGTGCAGTTCTCCAAAAAAAACCAAACATTTCAGAAAAGCAAAGCAAAAAAAAAACAAAAAAGAAAAGCGAACAGTGTTTGTAATATCAATCCCACCAGGGTCCTATTGATGTTGACGTTGATGTTCAAAATTTCGATCGATCATTCGTTGACAACATGAGATGAAAAAAAAATTGTCTTTGGGTCATGAAGCTCGTCCGCCGCCGCCGCCGCCGCCGCCTTCTTCTACCATTGGGCAGAGAAAAAAAAATGTACAAGTGAAGGACGCAACGTGGCCGGGTGGGGAAAATCTGAAGTAGTAGGTAGGTAGTAGATCATCTCTTTCCTCTTCTCTCTTTCCTGTTTCTTGTGATGGTTCGTTCAGTTCAATCCTCCGCTTCTTTTTGGGGATAAAAAGCAGCTCGAAGCTGGAAAGTCCTCTCTGTGTTGAATGTGGTGTCTGTCAATCAAGTAAGGGGTGGTCGGTAGGGCTGTCTCTCTCTCTTCCTTTCTTTCTTTCTCTTTCTCTCTCCCTCGTCTCGTATCGCTCGCTCACGCGAGTACCCACTCCGTACCGCGCTTCAAAAACTTGTCCATGAGAAGTCCCAGATCTGCGAGTACGAAGCGGCAAACAAAGAAACCAAAGAACTCGGCTGCGTGGCGAATGCTCAATTCGAGGCCGACGTGCGTAGGCGAGGAGTACTTCAGTCCTGGGTCTTCGACTTGACGCGCGATTTGATCTGTTTCACAGGGCATCACGTTAGCCGATGTTCCTCGCGTAACAGTTTGGAGAGAGGTGTTGGACGACGCTAGGCGAAGCAGGGATATCGTGCATGCGCGTCATGTGCCGTACATGCACGTACCCAACCGACCACTTTGCGTGATGCGGCCCGACATAGGCAATGCCTGAGTCGGTGAGAGCCCTCGCTTCGACTTTGGGGGCGGTCTGCGGATGTTCAGTGTGGATGCGCTGACTTACCTAGTATTTGCACGCCGTCGAACAGTCGGGCTAGGGAACCCATGTATTCCTTGTTCGGACCTTCAAAGACAAGATTCCGCGCCTCTCTCTTGTTGCCCCGACGTTCGACGGGCACGAAGCTCGTCATTGGCACTGATTGCATAGTGTACATCTCTTTCTCGCCATTTGGTTTCGTGCTCGGCACTTGTGCGCCACCCGAAAGAGGTGTGCCGGAGCTCTTATTTCGTAGCTTTCGCCACGAGGTGAGATAACTCTTACCAGAATTGCTTTTCGCAGCCTTGTCGGCCACGCCAGTCGCATCGGACGATGATGTGCCTGTGGAGCTTGCCACGGCTGAAGCATCTTTGAACATCCCAGCAATTCCATGCACGCCCACATCGCTACCAAGCTTTTTGATGAGGCTCTGTTGTACCCGTTCCATGACTTCTTCAAAGCTTTGCAGCTCTTCCATGACCGCATCTGCATCAAACGTGTCGACGCCTGCAAGGTGACCAAGCGCTGCCGTCAGCAGATCACAGTTTGCAATCTTGTCATCCACTAGCTTCAACTTCACGCCTGATGTCTCCCAGACCTGGCGAGACACGAACAGGTTCGCGGTCAAGAAGCCGCCGCGAGGGTGGACAATGGTCGAGGAGAGTGCGCGCATGAGCCAAAACGGTCTCAACAAGAAAGACTCCGGACACGATTCTAGGCCGGCTGGAAGTGGTGAGCTCGGCGATGTTGGTGACAGAGGTGTCTCTGCCGCCGTCAATGCGGTATCGAACAGATGATAACCACCTCCGAGTTTGTGATTCTCAACCGCCGCGGGACCATAAGAGGACAGCTGGGCTCTTTGCGATGCAAGCGGGTGGTGACGTCTGGCGGCAAAACTCATGAACGTTGAGCTCATAGGCGTAGCATTGGACATGCCTGAGTCGACATCCGGCGACGCGAGGAGGATTTGATGCTCTGCATGCTCTCTCAAGCTCACAGAAGATTTGTTCTTTCTGAACAATGTAGGTCTCGTGCCAGGCGGCAGATCACCAGGCGCCTCTTCATAGCTCGGTCTGTGGTTAGTTGTCGTTGACGCGTCATAGTCATCTAAGTTTTTGTCAGGCGCGGCGTGAAGCTCGAGCGATGACGGTGACAGCAGAATATGCCCATGCTGCGTCTCAGACACCGTACGCTCAAGTGGCTCCCCGAGTTTGGTGAGGTCTAACTCATGAGCATTAGTTTCATCGCCTTCCAGAAATGGACTGGTGGTATGGTGAAAAGTCGAAGCTCGTTTGCGAAGGGCATGCTCTCTAGCAGTCTCAATCTTAAGCTGCTTAGCATTCATGCCAGAAAGTCCGCGACTTCGAACATTCGATTCACGTCGACTGCCCGCATTTGGAGGCTGCGGAAGTGATGACCTTGGCGGCGGAGCTGGTGGTGGCGGGCCTGACGGGGGCGGTAATGCAGTACTTTCTCGCAGCGCTGCTGGTTTGGACAGCCTTCCCGAGAACGCGTCCTCGGCAACTGTGGACAGCGAAGTCGCTGCAGTATCACGATTGGAGACTTGCGAGCTTTGCCAGGTGCTTCTTGTATAAGCACTTGAATCAGACTGTCGCGGTATTGCAGACTTCGACTTGAGATCGAAGTCGAAAGCGCCGCCATAATCGCTGGCGAGTTCATCTAGAATGCGCTCCTCTTCTTCATCCTCTTCCGTGGTCATCATGCCAGAGTGAAACTCGCCCGGCAGTATTTCTTCAATCTCAGATGCCGGGACCTGGATCGAATCCTTTGGCACGTGCTTTGGCGGAGGCTTGCGCTTTGTGCGCGCATCCAAGTCGGGCTCAAAGCCTTCATCATAGGCAGCTTCCACAGCAGCATCGAAGGCAACATCGAAGTCAGCATCGCTCTCGCCGCTGAGTCTTCGAAGGTGTTTCCTTCGGGTGCCTTGCAGGGATGACCTGGAGTGCACGCTGTCCGACGACGAAGATCCGGATTCGTCAAGTGGGTCCAACCATGATGTTGTGTCTTTGCTCCCATCACTACCCGCACGTTGCCGTGAGGCTGTTCTTGGCCCCTCCGTCCGCTGTTCTGGGGATTCATTCCAAGAAGTCTGCGATTGGGGCTTCAGCTTGGGCGACTCGGCGCTTGTTGGTGAAGGCCTCTTTGGCGATAAGGGTCTTGGCATATATCGCGAGTCTTCCGGCAGCGGAGGCGGGAGATGTATTGACGTGGTTGCCAGTTCCGGCTCCGCGCCTGCCACAGCCGGGGCTTGGCTGTCATTCGCTTCAGATGTGAAGCTAGTCTCCACAGCCTCCATGGTGCGCGCGAAGAAACTGTCCCGGTCGGTGCCAGAGTAGGACAGACGCGGCGCGTCTGCGTGTCCACGTGGTGTATTCGAGTGTATGCCTCCATCTTGCTCCTGCACTGCCCCATTCAGAGGACTCACTGGTGCTGCACGCAACGACCCACTATCACCACTCATTGGCCGTGCAGGCAGAGGTCTCTCGTCTGCCGTGGGCGGTCGCTCCTGCACGAGCATGTTCAACTCGTCCATGCGGTTGCTGTATGTCACACGGATGGCATCCAGCTTCCGCTTGTCGTCTTCGCCGGAAGTGCGCTCCATCACCTGCGTCAGGAGGTCACAAGCATCACTGTACGCTTCCAACGCGCCCTCGTAGTTTTGGGCATTGTCTAACAGCACGGCTGTATTCGCCTTCTGTAACGCTTTCGAAAGCATTGCTTTCTTATCTCTCTCCGTTCTTTCCCTGTTACGCGGCCGTCGATGGCCATTGCCCTCTGGCGCCGTTGTCCTCGGTCGTTGTTCCATCTCTAGTCGCGACGTTGCGCCCTTCTCCCGCACGTTGTGAGAATTGATAGCCTCAGCCTTGGAGGTCTGAGCGATGGTCACAGGCGCAGATGGATTTCGCACCATGACCACTCGCTTTGTCTTTGCCATGCCGTACCCGTCATCGAAATAGTCTCCGTGCACGTAAGATGGCCCCAGAGGCGTCTCCAAAGTCTGGCTCGTTGAAGGTGACTCTGTATCATTGGAATCCGTCAAAGCTGGCGTGGTGTGCAATGGTGGCAGAGCGGTAAGGTGGCCGGCTCGTGCCTGTGGTCTCCTCCGCTCCGGACTACTAACTGGAGAGTAGGACGTGGTCACATTTTGTCGTTGCGGGCTCGAGCGCGGCGATGCATCAAGAGCGTTTGGGGGTTTCTGACGAGGCGAGGTATATGTCTGGCCACGCAGGGAGGTGAGTACAGCACCGCTGCTAGAGCGTTTGCGTCGAGTATTAGCAGAGAGTGACGCCACACTGGAGTTGGTGGAGTGTGTAGAGTGAGAGTAGCGATTGACGCTGGCCAGACCAATGGCTTCGCTGGCCGAGGGCAGTAGATCTGGGCCAGTGTTCGAAGATTCGATAGCACTGCTTCTCCTGCGCTTATGGAAGTTACGGTCGTTGTTGGACATGGGTCCGCGGCCAATGGCAATACGAGAGTCCGTATCCGGCTGGGTGTCCGCGCGCGACAACGAACCTGGCCGCTTGAGCGTCACAACAGAATCGGCAGTGGATAGATGGCTCTGTCGGTGCGCGTGGAGCTGGTGCTGGTCGAACCTCGCCGACGAGTTGGCCGCGTCAAACGTGCCTGGCTGTGAGGATGAAACAGCAGTACTGGCGTGCATGCTGTTTCACAAAGGCACTCCAAGCCCCCTCTGCGGCCCTATAATAATTCAGTGCCCACGAATCTGCCTCCGCAGTGCGCAGCGCACGCCTCGACAAGGCCAAACACTCCTGGGTCCAGGCCGTCGCTCGTTCCTCCTCGGACACTGCAGCCCTGCTCATTCAAGTAGGAGTGTCGCCGCGCGGCGGTGCGCTGCTCCCGCTGTGCGCAGATCGGGGTGCGGCACTTGACTCGTGAAGATGCGCCTCTGCCCAAGCGTGGTGGTTGAATTCAAAGGGTCCAGTGCCAATCCCGCGGTGAGGCCGGATCTCTGGGGAGTGGTGCTGCAAAGCGTGCAGGTACAGATGTGCAACAGCGGGCGTTTGCAGCACTCGTCGGTGTGTGGTGTGACGGGATGCGCAGCGCAGCGTCGACTCAGTCCATACGGTGCGCTCGCTTGTTTCCTATTCCTCCACCGCGCAGCACGTAATCAACATGGACGCCTACTGGGCAGCCATGACAGATGTATGTCGGCGTGCGTGCGTGCGGACGTGCGTGCTCAGATATGGCTCCCTGGTGCGCGCAGTGTGATTTTATCCACACGCCTGCTCCGCTCGGTGTGCTACAGTACCATATGCCTTCCGCGCCGCTAAACAGCGCTTGTTCCCAGATGCCAGATGCCTGTCGCGTGGCCCAGCAAAGTGCCAACTCAATCTGCTCGCGAGCAAGTGAATATGGCGTCAATAAGGATGGAGGTGACCGTGTGCAGACTCGGCGACCAGGGGCGATGCCTGCGATGCACGAGGAATGGAGCCGGTCGCGTCGCGAGTCCCGGCAGCGTGCAGAGGTTCTGAGGTGCCAGGCGCGGCGCAGTGCAGTGCCGCTTCGAGCTGTGTCGTTGTCGTTGTATGCAGCGCAATCGCCTCCACGTGGACCGATGCGTGGTCTGTAAGTTATGAGCAGGCTGGCAGTTGTTCGGAGTGACGCGCAGCTCGAGATGCTCGCTGCGCACTGCGCGATGGTGGAGAAGCGCTGGCAGCCAGGAAGCTCCTTGTTGTGGCCAGCTGCACAGACCAGCCCCAGAGTCGATGGGTAGTCGAACTCGATACTTCTAAACTGTCAGGTACCCCTGGCCTCTAACGTACGGTTACGTACCAAAGTGACCAAACCAACGTCTAATTAATGTAGAGAACTTTCCGCTGTCTACATAACGTACTGCTACTACAAGCGCGGCCGCCCACTGTGCTCCCCTTCGCAGCACCTCGGAGCATGTCTCCTCCTCTGCCCGACTGCACCCTTCCTGCGCTGCGCTGCACACAGTATCTGCCCCTGAACAGCTCGCGTCGGTAGCTGCATTGCATTTACCGGCGTCTTCGTCCGCTGCTCGACGCTACCATAGCTTCAGCCGAGCACCAGCATTCTGCCGCTGTCCACTGCACATCTGTCAATCGCTCAGCAGGTGCCAAAGTCTCTTCGCATCTGCCTGTCACAGGGCAAGAAAATCGCTCGACTGCACAGGCACGGCTCCCGAAATGGACCTTTGAACCCCTGTGCGCCCCTTTGATCGCCTTCTGCCGACACGAATCAAGACCAGGTGGGACCTTGCAGCTGTACTGATTTCACTCGCCCTCACCTCTCCCGTCAAGGAGGTATTCTGTATACAAATGTACATCGACTTCGTTCCTCGCATGCTCATCATCAGACATCGAATGGCGATCTCGTCCGATGCGCGAGAGCCTCCGCATGGAAGCGCGATGCAGGCTCCGTGCCATCCATGAAGATTTCGTGGTGTGCTTCTCGAGCTCCCCGATGCCCTGCAGTCACGACAACTGCTATCTTCGACGCGGCTCCGAGTCTGTCCTTTTTTGGCTTTCATCGGAGCGCACAGGTGTCTGCCATCTTTTGGGCCAAGCTCCAGTTGCTTCTGGAAGCACATCCTTGTCTATCGATATCGCAATTTCAATTTTCGAGAATGACTTCTACTACTGGAAAGTCTCTACCCATGTACGCACCAGACTCCACGCTACACTGTTGAGACGCACTCCACATAGCTGCAGCAGAAAGTGCCCCGGAAGCAGCCAATAGTCCGGCCTGCTTGCGAGAAAACCCATGTCACCGACCAATTGAGAGCGGTGAGCGATTCCGCATTGCAGTCATCTGAAGAGCCGCATCAACCTCGTGCAGTAGCTACGATTTCAGATGCAGCCATCATCGTCGTGTATCTGCTGCTCACTATGACAGCACTTTGTGTCCACCATCATGTGGATTGATGACGCCACCACACCTCTCACAAGCGTCGAGACCGATGCCAAGTCACAAATTGATAAACATCAACGTCTTGGCCAGATCCAAAACGCAGGCGGTGTGCTGAATACAGTCGGTCTATACTGCTTGACCTGCGCTAGGCAACTGAGCGGCTACCTGAAAAACTCTCCCTAAAATCTCTGGCGTGTAGACGGAGTGCACAAGGAAATTGTTCATTTGCACTCAACTCACCACTTCGGCTTCGTCGATAGATTGATGTAGAAATCTTAATAACGTGAGAACGTCGGTGTGTGTGGTTTGAAATTAAATATAATTAGGCCCGCGGCTTACTCCACGCGTTCTACAAGGTAGTGCGGGTGTTTCGGTCAAAGTCACTTTGAAAGTGAATATTCTATCGTTCAGGTTGGTGGCTTTCTCCTCGAAGCGACAGAGTTTGGCAGGTGGTCATCGGCTTGAAGATTCCCTCCGCGCTGCCTGCTCGACCTCTGTTTGCAGGACACGCCCAACATGTAATGCAAACGTACGATGTCGAACTCAGAAGTAGAGAAGCAGATAAACATGGCCGGCTCGGCGGCTGTGGCGTGTGTTGCGTGTCGACGACTGAAGGTGGGTGTGGTGCAGCCGAGCGAAGACCCGAGGAAGCATGAGCATGAGCATAAGGCCATGAGCATTGCCTTCCGGCCACCGTAGCACTACGGCCACCGGAACTTGCTGACTGTGTGTGATACAACTAGATGCGATGCATCGGCTTGGAATCTGGATGCTGCGATCGCTGTGCCAAAGCTAAGCGAGAATGCACCGTGCTTCCTTCACGCCGTGGCTGCCAACAGCGCAGGTCTTCCGCGAGACAACGCCATGGGGCAGTGTCTTCGAGAGTGAACGGCACACCACACCACGCTTCTTCTGCCACCTCAATCAACAGCAACAATGGACGGCACGCTAGTTCCTCCTCAATCGGCCTGTCGCGTGCGGACTCTGGTCATACAGCTTCCCGTACCACTGGCATGCTCTTGGTGATAGGCTCGCCTGGTCGGAGCCCCTCCAAGAGCCACGCACCTCAGAGCCATGAAATCTCGTACAGCAAAGACACCAATCTTCGCAAACAATCGAGCGACGTATTGTCTGACTCAGCACTCGAAAGTCTGGTTCGTTTGTACGTGCTGCACATGTCTACTGCTCTCCACCCACACTGACCCCTTCGACAGCTTCAGCCAAGGACTGATCTACTTTGTGCCGATCCTGGAAATCACAGACCTTGACGATGTGCCATTCTTGATGACACATTGTAGGCCTTTGGTATACTGTGCGGCATTGATCGCAGCCAAGTTCGCGCCCGGAGCAGGCCACTTGTATGACCAAATCGTGCCGTATGTCCATCATTTTTTACGCTCGCTTGAGGGACCACTTGCGCAAGATGAGGAAGTCATCTGGATGCAACTCCAAGCCTACGCAATTCTCTACGCCAACGGGACTGCTGCCGACATTTCACATCCAAAACCCGAAACAGAAGATACGAGACGACTCAATCACTGGGTACTGAAAGCCTCCATTGAGACGTTTGCTTTGCGTCTCAGCTTACACCAGTCTTTCAGCGAAGTGAGAAGACTGGTCCAAGATGGAGCACTCCACATCGACCAGACATTCGCGTTCAGGAAGTACGTCTACTGGCTATGGCTCTTCACCTTGAGTCATCACTTCAGCTTAGTGACCGAGTCTCCCCCATCCATACGAGCGGACTACAGCATCCGAACAGCCTGCTTCCTCCTCTCACAAGTTGAGAAACCAGGAAGGATCACACGAATGCTAGCAGAAGTCGATCTCTGCATGCTCTGGAACGCAGCAGGCCAGTCCCTCCCAGGTCTTGACGAATGGTGGTGTCCACCTCCCCAAGACCAAGACCCAGAACAAGCATCCCGAGTCCTCGACGACGCAGACGCAGCTCTCGATGTCTGGAGCCAAAGATGGGGTGTCCACGGCGAACCCAACGCCACTTACCCAGGCCTAGACGTGAACAACAACGGAGTCGTCCTTTTCCACTACCTCGCTACGAGATTCTGGCTCAGAGTCTTCTCCATCCGAGTCATACGAAGCTCAAGACTCACAGCCAACTCCGCATTCCCACAAAACCAATCCCTCCGCCAACTCAACGTCAGCCTGACCCTGAAATCCGCCGAAGCCGCCGAGAAAATGTGCAGATGTGTCCTCGAAATCCCAGTCCACATGCGAGATTCGGCGAAACATATGGCCGATTTTGGCTTTGCGCTGGTGGCTTTTTGCGGGATTTATATTTTGAGGATTTATGAGCTTTTCGGTGCGGCCTTCCCCGTGCTGGAATCGCACGTCAAGACTGTGGAGGAGACGGGGAGAGTGCTGACGGAGATGTCGGTGGGGATTAATCATGTTCCGATTATTTATGGAAAGAGGGTGCTTGAGAGGTTGGAGGAAGTTAAAAGATCTTTGGCCATGCAGGTTGTGGATCCGAGTCTGGGGATGCGGACTGCTCAAGACGTGGATTTGCGGTGGATTGATGGGTTCTTTGCGAGGGTGTGAGCCCGCTTCTAAAGACTGTCTGGTGTCTTTGATATGTTTAATGGATGGCGACATCGATGGTCGATCCTGGGTTCATTGCTGTGGCGAGGGCCAGGATGCAGTCGATGGAGATATGTGGATGTGATGATTCGCAACGTGAGCCGCTGTAATTGTATGTAAAATAGGAGCTTGAGTAGTTCGACAAGATTTCATTATAATGCCATGGTCTTTGCGAACGTTTTTGCCCAGCTATACAGCAAGGGAGGGCTCTTCCGACGCTAGTGAACGGCCATACAGCAAGGGAGGGAGCAGGGGTCGGCCGACCTATAGTCGCTCGCACGCGTGCGACTATTAATAACTTACCAAATAGTGCGATTATTATTAAGTCGCAAGGCATAAACTCTTAGGCATCAACCTATATAGATTTTGCAGTAGAACTTAGTATAGAATAGTATAGACCTATACTAACAAATCTTAAATATCTACCCTTCTAAAAGCAGTTTCTAGCTCTGCCTCTTCTACGTATTCGTTATAGGTAGGTAGATTGCTATTCAAACTATCGCTTATAGCCTTATAGACTACGCTTTATAATAGCACTATAGCATTAGCTACTACGGCGGCTTCTTCTTTATCTATTGTCTTATTCTGTTTAGCTATAAACGTATTACCTGCTAGGGCAGTAGTACGCTTCCGTTTCTTAGTAGATAGATCTAGCTCCTTCCGAAGGACTCGATAGTTAAAGTAGATAAAGATTAGCTAGTTAAGTCGCTCTATTGTAAGCCGAGAACGAAGCCTAGTCTATATTAGCTTAAGGGCTAAGAACGTCCGCTCGGCGGTAACAGTATTAGTAGTAGTAGTTTAACAAAGCCGCAAGGTATAGTCCGATAGTAAAGGTAAGGCAGTAGCTCTATAGCTCTAGAAGAGCTTTATATTAGTGCTATAGCGTAACTAGTACTCGTTAGAAGCAATAAAGGCGTTTCGCTAGTAGATATAGTCGTAGAAGTCCGACTTAATCGATAGCTGCTTGTCTACTTCTAAGGTTATTAAGCGCAAGGCGTTAAGGATAATCGCTTACTTAGTAGGTAATAGTCTAGCGCCTTAACTAACTATAGAAGGGTTAAGATAATAGGCCGCCTAATAGTGCTTATTTACCTATCGTAAGAAGCGCTCTTACTAGCCTATAATCGTAGCTACTAACTTCCGTATATTAAGGACAAATTAGATACCTTCGAGTAGCTCTCGGATTAGTAGTAGACTCGTATTAATCTGCTTCTCGAGAGTAGCTTTATAGCTAAACTACCGAGGTATTACTTTGTCTATTATAGCCTCCTTTAACTAAGATAGAATGAGCTAATTATTTAGCGGCTCTAGTAGGTCGATAGCGGCTTAAAGATTAGTCTAGAATACATAGTCTATTATTATAGACCGCGCCTCGAAGTCTAGTATAGAAGTACAATTACGGACTAGCTCCTAAAGGGCATACTTGCTACGTAGAAGTGACTTAAACAAGGTAATTATAGTCGGCTAGCGAGTCTTATATATACTAATTAGCGAGAAGGTCTTACCGTAGATTGCTACCTACTTCTTTTTTAAGAGCTAATATATCGCCTTCTTCCGTAATAGGTAAGAGACGACGTATTATGCCTCGTCGTAGAGGCCCTTTATTTCCGGATGTTTAAAGAAGTCTCTTATTGACAACGCGCCGCCGTGTAAGTCGCAGGGCACTATAATAACGTAACTAAGGTCCGGATCTTCTTCTAGTAGGCGTATTATCTTTAGGTTAGTAGTATACGTATCGAAGGTAATTAAGCTAACCTTCGAGAGGTTACCGCCGGTAAGCTGCTCGCACTTTACCTTCGCCTAGCGCGCGCCTTCTTTAGCCGATTTATCGACTGTTTCTATCTAACGCGTTTTAATTATATAGTAGCTAGTAGAGTCGACGAGCGATAAGGTAGTAACGCCTATTCTATTACCGTTAGAGGTACTATCAATCTACAGATTTAGCTCGTCGTAATACGCGACTTTAGCTAATATCTTCTCTTCTAGTTTCTCGAAGTGCCGTAGTAGTAGAATACGTCGAATTCGCGTTATATTCGGAAGCTCGAACGAAGGATATAAAGCGGCAAATAACGCCTTTACTACTATCTTCTCGAAGAAGCTAAACGGCTTATTTTCCTCGAAGCATACCGTACCGTATAACTCCTCGAGATAGTCGTACTAAGCGGCGGTTAACGCGACTTATAGTAATTTAATCTATTCTAGCGACGACGGCAGTTTGCCTATCCTTTACGCCTCTATCCGCTTCTTATACTTCGCGATATGCTCCTTATTCCGCGTTAAGTCCTTTATACCGTCGTAATCGTAGAAACGACAAATAATACGCCGCTTTGCCCTATAGTCGTTATATTACTTAAAAAAGCGGTATATAATATTATTAGGCTTAGCTATTAGAATACGTAATAGGAGGCGATAATAAGGATAACTAAGCGATAAGAGATGCTATCGATATAGCGATAATAGCGACGACGAGGTCTAAGGCAGAAGAAATATAAGAATATACTAGAGGACGCGATTTCGACGCGATTTAGTAGAAATCTATATACTATACTATATAGGTATTAACCTAGGTATAACCTATACAAAACACTATATAAATAACCTACAATAGGTCGCTCGACGTAACGCGCGTGCGATTAACTATAAGTCGCTCGAATCGCCTCCCTCCGAGGGAGGCGAGTGGTGACGGTGGAAGAATGAGGCTGAAATTTAGAGTTATCTCTTCCGACGCTAGTGAACGGACAGCTGTCGGTTCATCACTCTGGCAGGGATGTCCGAGTAAGGCATTGGTGAAAGATTCAACACCTCACTCACCTGTTCCTGATTCCAACCCACGATCTTGTGACAGGATACGAGCTGGCTTCTGCATGTGCATGTGCTTGCAACGAAGATTCAGCACATGTAAAAAGCATGACATGTTAGCTCAGCACTCATTCAACCTCAACCTTCATCGCTTATCGATCGACACTCCTTCACACATGCAAAACCTACGCGCGCTATAGAAACAAACATACACCCGACCGACATGCGGATCTTCTCGACATTTGCGCTGCTAGGGCTACTGGCTCTAGCTACCGCGCAAGATTACTACAAGGTAATAAAGCAGATCGGCTTGATCAGGAGTCCAACCTAACGTCATCCATCATCCAGATCCTCGACCTCGACCGATCAGCCTCAGACCGCGACCTCAAGAAAGCCTACCGGCGACTATCAAAGAAATACCACCCAGATAAAAACCCTGGCGACGAAGAAGCGAACAAGAAATTCGTCCAAGTCTCAGAAGCATACGAAACCCTCGCCGACAGCGACCTGCGAAAAATCTACGATCAGCATGGCGCAGAAGGCGTGAAGCAGCATAAACAACGAGGTCAAGGAGGCGGAGGCGCTAGGAACCCTTTCGACATCTTTAACCAGTTCTTTGGCGGCGGGGGACACTTTGGGCACGGGCAGAGAAGAGGGCCGGATATGGAGGTATGGATCAAGCTCCCGCTCAAAGACTTTTATACAGGCGCCGAGCACGATTTCAAAGTCGAGAAGCAGGTGATTTGTCCGAAATGTGAGGGTTCGGGTTCGGAGGATGGGCATCGTGATCAGTGTGCGAAGTGTGGAGGGCATGGGATGCTTTTGCAGAAACAGATGCTTGCGCCGGGGATTTTTCAGCAGGTGCAGATGCAGTGCGATCAGTGTGGGGGTGCGGGGTCGACGGTGAGGCATAAGTGTAAGAAGTGTGGTGGGGAGAGAGTTGTGAGGGGGGAAGAGAGTTATGATATTACGGTTGAGAAGGGTATGCCCAGAGGGGCGAGAGTGCAGTATGAGAATGAAGCGGATGAGTCGCCGGACTGGGAAGCTGGGAGTTTGGTGGTGCATATCGCGGAGCAGACTCCTGGGATTGTTGCCGAGGAGAAAGACCGAACAGATGGCGCCTTTTTCCGACGGAAAGATGAGAACCTCTTCTGGAGAGAAATCCTCTCCTTACGAGAAGCATGGATGGGCGACTGGACACGAAACCTCACCCATCTCGACGGCCACATCGTCCAACTCTCGCGAAAACGCGGCCAAGTCGTGCAACCCGGCACCGTCGAAGTCGTGGAAGGCGAAGGTATGCCGATTTGGAAACATGAGGAAGGTAAAGGCCCTTCGCATGGTGCTTTACACGTCGAATATGTTGTCGTGCTCCCCGATCAATTGGAGAGTGGCATGGAGAAGGAGTTTTTCGCTTTGTGGGAGAAGTATCGGAAGAAGAGTGGTGTTGATTTGCTTAGGGATAGTGGGAGACCGATGCCGATGCTGTCGACGCAGAACAAGCATGATGAGTTGTAGGGGGAGGGGGGGGGGGTTGTTATGAGGATGCATTTGTCTTGTATTGATACCAGTGGAGCGTTGATGTAGAGGATAGAACAGGATCCCAATCTGAGTGATTTTTTGGAAGAGACAGTGGTGTTTCTGGCGAGACCGAAGCCGCAATGATGGAGGAATGGGCTTCGAATGCTGATATATCACTCGTTTCGTGGTGGCTGACCTCGCAGATACCTGAAGGAATGAACCCAGCTCACGATCAGACTCAATCGCTCCCAACACGCTCGCGTTTACGTACCAATTCCAACAAGAGGATGGGTAAATCATCTTCCTCTATCGATTGATTACATAGTTAGCCTTGGGTCTTGCAAGAACCTTTGGGCGGTAGGTAGGTATTTATAGTAGGAATCAAGATAAGGCATTCATTGTACCTAAACGCGATCTAGGAATTTCTTCCTTCATTTGTTTCGTGAGGTATGAATCGGTCATGTAGCTCACAGTCGAGAAAGACGAGTTTCCTCTAAGGTGTTTATGCAGAGGGTTGCTTGAATTTGTACTGTAGTGGAAAGTAGGATATCAAAGCTTCTTATATACGATGTGGATCGTGCTGCTTTGGTAGAGTGGTGAATTCAGGCCTGGGTCTTGGTCACTCTGTTTGGGTGGGGTAGAAGATGCCGAAACGAGCTTTTGCGTGGTCAGGTGAGATAGACGGGGCTTATGTTTAGGAACGTTTGGTTTTGGGGATGTAATTTTTTGCGGGGGGTGGTTCGTACATGTATGCTGTTGGATGAAGGCGGAAGAGTAGTGAGCTGTTGTTAGGAGAAGTGCTATTAGGCATTAAGGATGTAAATATAATTAGCTTAATTGTGCATTTCTATAGGAAATATAAGGAGAAGAAGAACGAAGAGGTTTTATAGAGGGTCGTCGAGAAACCTAGATATTAAAAATAGACAACTATGAATTAATAGTATAAGATAAGTAGCTTCGATTAATTAATAAACTAGACGGATAATTAGAAACTATAGCTATTTCTAGGCACGACTATTATAGTACTCGTAACGACCTGCGTTCTAATCCATCCCAGACATATTCACCTTGTATCATCTAACCTCGAGGAGCAACGGCCTGACCAATAGAACTAGTATGCTGTCCAAAGACCCCAAGATTGGGTGGATCTCGATGCGTACGCGCAAGATCCAAAGCAGATTGATCGATCAAACCTTTGCTCAGAAGCCTTGCGAGAAATTCCAAGATCCAATCCTGACAATCTTTCCTATGGATCTAGACTCGGTACCTAAATCAGTCGATTGTTGCAATGCAGCAGTCATTATTGATGATACCTACCCCGTCGACAAGGGCTCTGGGATTTTGACCTTTGGGTGGTGGGTCAACTCGTGTTGCTTCTCGTTCGATAGTTGCGCGTGGAGTTGATTCTAGGAGGAAAGTTGCTGTGTCGGTGGGGTTGAATACATAGGAGGAATCGATCGAGCCGAGGAAGATCATTTCTTTGAGAGTTAGGGAAGTGCTGCATTCGTAGTTCCGCTTGAATTGTAGAGCGTAGCCGGCGAATAGAGGTTCGCCAATGACGTGTATCACTGTGCCTGTGCAGGGCGCTTCCCGGAAGGTTTGTGCCAGCTGTGGTCTGTCGTTGGGCGCGTTTGGAAGAAATAGTGCTAGATGAGCACGTTGATTGACAGAAGTACGATATTTTATGAGGTAGACGGAACGTTGTGACATGGTGTAGAAGAATGCGTGAAGATTTTTTTTCAGAAGGATGGATAACGATGTTGAGAATGTTGATGGGAAGGAATCGACACCTCTCTATAGGCCTTTTATGTCAAATTATTCTTGCTGCTTGTCCATCCGTTGCCTACCAAAGATCTTTTTGTATCTTAGCCGCTCTGTGCGGCGTAGTTGCTGCCTAGGATGGCAGGGATGTAGCTTTGAGTTGGCCCAAGCACAAATTTATCTGTAGAACACCAGTGACGGCGATCGACTAGACGCGTGCAGATAGACGGCGCTATTCCGCTGGCCGACGTTTGCTGACAGAGTCGTCCTGATACTGCAATGCTCTGGCATTACCAAACCTGACCTCAACAGACTTTCGCATTGCAATGAAGCTCTCAGTCTGTCTCATGGCGGAATATCATGGCGGAATACCTCACGAAGACTACGCGCTTGTTCATTAGCTGAGCACGTGGCTGCGCCAATCCTGGTACTGTTTCAATTGCTTTGCAGAGTCTTCCACATAGGGCTCATTCCGAACGACGCGATTGAGCTCAATCGAATTAGTACCCTCTCCAGGAAGTATACTCTGCCAATGCGAACAAGACGTCGTCAAAGCATGTACCAGAAATTACTTTATCAGCCCAGCCATCCGTCCGCCAAGGATGCTGATCTTCCACTCCGAAATACAATTTGCAATACTCCCAGTATTCGGGGTACCATCCAGACTGCTCCCAGTCGACAATGCCGACAATACTCCAAGAGCCGTTTGTGCAAGCGACTATGATGTTGTCGAGACTAAGGTCCCCGTGCGTGAAGTATATCTTGCTGTTGTCGTCAAATGAGTCTCGGTATGCTTGATAAGGCTCCGGAATGACCATGTCTGGGCCGGGCTGTTGGCGCGTGGCCGCCGCATATATCCAGTCGTGGAAGTCACAAATCTTCGCGAAAGGACCGCCTTCATAGTCGGGCTTGAAATATTTGTCTGTGACTGGACCGCCGCTGATGGAACCTGAGGGTAGGTGAGAAGATGAGAGAAAGATAATGTTATGAGAGACAATCCACGTACCAATAACTTTTTCCGTTGGCCCTCGCGTGATGCTTCGAAGAGAAGACACCACACTACTTAATTGTTCACAGATCCTTGCTTGGTCTGCTTCTGTCAGAGAAGGCCAGGCCTTCCGCAATGTCTGGCCGTGTATCAGGCTCATATAGACGAAATTGTGGGCATTGTAAGTCCTCCAGCCGAATATTTCTGGAACCGGTATCTCGTCATTCCGGAATATCTGTCGCATGGCTCGCATTGTCACTGCTTCATCGAACTTCAAGTAGTCGGCTTGGTCAAACTTTACCACCAAGTTCAGTTCTGGAATGGCAACAGTGCCGCGGCCCCCTCCTCGCGCATCTCTTTCGAGAATCGATGCCGGTGTCGGTAGCTCCGGGAGCCCACCAGAATGGCCCTGAAAGAACGAGGTATCGAGAAAATCTGCCTGCGGTTGCGAGGCATCTGGAAGGCTGGACTCATCTACGAATGGCATGTCTGAGCCATCTGTCGCCATAACGAGCACATGGACAAGGGTTTCGTGTCAGTTGGCGTGAGCCGTCGTAAGATAGACCGATATGCCTGTGAATGTAGAGGTGCAGGTGCAGGTGCAGGAAGGAGAAGGAGTGGAGGCAAATGGAGTCAATAGAATATATACAGTAAGCTTCACGCTAGCACGGGAGTGGCCGGCCGAGATCCGTGACTGTGATTGCAATTGCGACTTGACTCGACAGCCGCTTGCCTTTTCACACATCCCCACCCGGCCATCACTCGAAGACTCCCGACTTGCGCGAAAGCAGCCTTGTGGTAAGTACTGCAACTTCCATAGTGCGACTTCAAAAATATGGCAAAGAAGAAGAGCCACGCTGTGAATCACGTTCACCGTACCAACAATTATGCAGAGGCAGACGCATATCAGGCGCAAAGCACCACCTACAGCAACATCAACTTCTACGGCAATACCTTCCCCCGACAGAGCCAGCACACAGCATCCGCCGGCCACTATAACCAGTACAATATGGACTACAATCAATACGCGAATCAAGGGTATGGAGCATATGGCTACCCACCAGGTTATGCCGCTCAGTACGCTCAACCGCAACAGCAACAGTATCAAGCAGCGCCACCAGCACCAGCGATAAGGAATCCATTCGCCCCACCGCCACCGCCAGCATCTACCTACGCCGCGCAGAATGCAAACTTCGACCCAGATTACGAGCAGCAGATTGCGCAGTGGCAATCAGCATATGCGCCGGCAGATCAGCAGGACCGGAGAGGGAAGGGTAAGGACTCTCGTCAAGAAGGGAACGCGAACCACACCCCAGTTGGACAACGAGGCGGAGCAACAGCAGCCGCGGCCGAGAATGGCGATGCAAAGAGCAAGCAGGATGACGGCAAATTCACTGTCGTGAGAAAAGGCGGGGGTGAGCAATGGGAAGACAAATCTTTGCTCGAATGGGATCCGACCAAATTCCGCATTATGGTGGGCAATCTGGCGGGCGAGGTCACTGATGATTCTCTTGCAAAAGCCTTTGCGCAATACGGCGTGTCAAAGGCGCGCGTGGTACGAGACAAGCGCACGACCAAGTCCAAAGGGTTCGGTTTCGTGGAGTTTGAAGAGGGCGAACTTGGCTTCAAAGCTGCGCGAGAGATGACAGGCAAGTACATCGGCAGTCATCCAGTGACGATTCAACGCAGCAAGACCGACGTGCGCCCCCAATTGAAGAAGGACAACAACAAGCACCGAGGCAAGAATAACAGCAACAAGAACAAGCCGGGCAAGAATGACAAGGACCCGCTCAAAGCACATACCGGTGCTGGAATCGAGAAGAAGCCCGCTAACAAGCCCGCTGCTGGACTAAAGCTGCTTGGATAATTGTGCGGCTGCTGGGAGTCTTCTTTGCATATCTCTGCGTTCAGCGAGGCGTTCGAAAGGAGAATTGGGCTTACCACGGACGACTAAAGGCGTCAACGGCGAATGCATCGACCTGCAAACCGGACCTGAGCGCAATGAGTGCGAGGGCTTGCTTTCATCGGTGTGGATCAGTTCGCTAGATGAGTATGTCGACTCAATTATGAAGAAATGAAACAGCTGCTAACATGGCGCTTCCCACATTCAGCCCTCGAGACTTGCGTGCTTGCCTTGCGCTAGTAAGCAACGTCTCGGATGCGCTGGTAAGTTTTTCGTTCTGTCTCCTTTGGCAACATGTTCGTGTCGTGATCAGCCACTCTGCTTCCATAGGTGAGTTCCAAACGTGCAAGGTGTTTCAACAAACAAGCTTCCGGATCAAGAATTAAGAAAAGTCTGTGAGGACATGATCACGACTTCGTGGAGCTGTAAAGTATCGCGCCAGACAGGCGCGCAGCTTCGACTTCAAATTGAGGGAACGCATTCAAAATTTGCGTACCCAAGGCCAGATGAGCATTTCAAGAATGTCCTATGAAGTTGCAAGTGCAATTGCGATCAAGCAAACTCTGCGCCGCGCAAGGTCGACATTAGCAAACTGATCCTCAGATTCGAAATGATTTTGCCGACAGGTTACCGTGGTTTCCAAGGTTTAGCACCGGATTAGAGTCAGATCATGCTCGAGAACGGTCACTGGTAAGCGGTTTTTGATCGCAGCCTTGCCGACACAAAGTTCAGGCTGGCGGGAGGCAGAGAGCTGCAATCCAATCGCAGGTAAGCTAATATATAGTCGCACCAAAATTCAACATTTTGTCAGGCTCCGATCTTTGATCTCGGTGCAAGCTGCGAGATAGGTATCACGTCCACTACTACCATTTCTTCCTTCAAGTCTTCCGCCGTTGCCGCAAAATCAATACTGCTTCAACCACTGCACACTCAAGACAGTCCCCACAACATTCACCATGACAATCGAAGAACTCACCACCGCCCAGTCCGAACGCGTGTCTGTCCCAACCATGCGCCTCGGATCTGTAGGACAAGACACCCATTTCATCCCCAGAGAAGGCCGCGACGAAACCCACCACCTCCAGAAATCCATCCTCGCCCTCGCCCACGAAGTCTACATCAACACCGTCTCCCCCAACGCCACCCGCGAATCCCTCCTCTCCGCCTTCTCCCTCCGAGCCTTCCGAATCCCAAGTCACGGCCACCCTTACCACCGCATCGTCCTCGCAACCCGCGAACCCGGCCACATGGTCGTCAGCGGAGCTCCTCACGCCGAAATCGACGGGGCGCATCGATTGCTCTACGACGCCGTCATGGCTTGGCGGGATCATGCGAAGCGAAGGTTTGGTGGTGGTGGTGGTGCGGCGGAGTGGTTGGACGTTGCGTTTGAGGGGATGGTGGAGTGGGATGGGGAGTTTGCTATGGGGACTTATGAGCTTATGCGTGGGGATTTGGGGGATCGGAGATTTGGGGTGACGTTGGCGCTTGCGAGGGATGGTCATCGCGATGGGTTTAGGAGTCCGGGGGAGTTTCAGGGGTATATGTTTGCTTTGATGAGGTGGGAGAGTGGAAGGGGTGGGAGAGGGGTGGGGGGTTGTGGGAGGGGGAGGGGGACGGGGGAGGTGAGGTGGTAGGTAGGTGGTAGGTAGGTGGAGAGTTGGACGACGACGTTTTATAGGATTGGGAACCAAAAAAAAAAACAAAAGGATTTACCATCCGAAGCAGAACGAACATCTATCCATCAATTCATTCCCCGAATCGGTAACTGTCTACTCACAACTTCGCCCCAACCCTCTCCTCCTCAACAATCACAGCCGCCAACATCCCCTCCGCAATATCCTCCCCATCCTCCGCTTCCGTCACCCAACTCACAACCCCACCTCTATGCGACCTCACCTCCACCTCCATCTTCATCTGCTTGATCACACAAACCGGCTCATCCTTCCGAACCGCATCCCCCACCTCAACCAAAACTTCCACTAACTTCCCAGAAATTGGGATGATAACATGCCTCGCGTCCGATGGATTCCCGTACGGATGACTCGAACCCATCGCCGAGCCTGACGCGGTGGAAGATTTTAGGGCTAGGGTGAAGGGAACGGGTTTGGAGGCGGGGGATGTGTAGAGGATTTCTGCGGCGAAGGAAGCCGGGAAGTTGTTTTTGAGGATTTTGGTGAGTTGGAGGTGGTATGGTTGTTGCTGTTGCTGGATTTCGACGTTGTGGGGTGTGAGGGTGATGGTCCAGGCGTCGTCTTTTTTAAAGATTGCGGTGTCGTGGCTGGATGAAGCGGATGGGGCAGATTGGGATTCTTGCTGGACGAGTCCGTGTAAGGGATCGGGACCGTCTTGATGTTTCCGGCTGAGGGTGAGGAGGTCTTCGTGTTTTGACTCTAACCATTGAGTGTCGCATTGGCCGTTCTCGAAGTCGGGGTGCCGGACAATGGCTCGCAATAGGGCGAGATTGGTTTGGATGCCTTTGACTTGAGTGTCATCTAAGGCTCGTCGGGCTTTCGAGACAGTGTCTGGCCACGTTCGTGCGGTGATGATGATTTTCGCGATAACGCTGTCGAAGTCTGAGGTTACGACTGCTGGAATGTTGGGTACTAGGGCTGTGTCGACTCTGGTTCCCACTCCAGAAGGAAATTTGAATGACTGGATCTTGCCGATGCTGAGGGAATAGTTCTTTTCCGGATCTTCGGCAGTCAGACGGAGTTGGATTGAGTATTGAGGCGGTGGTGCGAGGGGATTTTGAGAAAGTGTATCGAGACCGGTGTCGGAAAAGGAAGCGCCTTGAGCGAGTCGCAGTTGGGCTTGGACGATGTCTGTTGAGCAGATCGATTCAGTGATGGTGTGTTCGACTTGCAAGCGAGGGTTGATTTCGAGAAAGAAGAACTCCTTGGTGTTTGGGTTGAGTAGGAACTCAAACGTGCCTAGGGAGGCGTAATTGATCTGTTGCGTTCAGTGATATATCTTGACCACCCTTTTCGTCAACTCACCTTCTTTGCAATACGGACTGCAGCCTCAATGATAGGCTGCACAGCAGTCCTGTCTTGACACATACTCGGTGCTAGTTCAACGATCTTTTGGTACCTCCTCTGGATACTGCACTCTCGCTCCCACAGATGCATAACATTTCCATTCCCGTCTCCCACGATCTGCACTTCGACATGTCTGTAGCCATCTACAGCTGCTTTCTCGGCGAAGACTTGCTTGCTTGGACTCTCTTCAATGGCTCTCTTGACCAGACTCTGCAAAACCTCCATCTTCCGTACAAGCCTGATGCCTCGCCCGCCGCCACCATCAACGGCCTTGATCATGATCGGAAGACCATTCTTCTCCGCAAAGCTTTGGACCTCTTCGAATTTCCCGGTCGGTGTGGTGAAAGCTGGTAGCACAGGTACATTGCATTCTTCTGCCAGCTGCCTTGCACGAAGCTTGTCACCCGTTCGATCCAGATTCTCAGCTCCAGGCCCAACAAGCATGACGTTGATCTCGGCCATCCTAGATGCCAATAAAGAGGACTCGGAGAGAAAGCCATAGCCTGGATGAACTGCATCGATTTGCTTTTCTTGGACGATCTTCACGATCTCGTCGACGTTCACATACGATGATGGGGACTCTAGCTTGATGGCATGTGATGCATTGTAGACATGGCTGACATCATTCTCGGTGAAGACTGCAAACGTCTCCAAGCCGAGCTCACGACATGTTGACAGAATCCGAGCGGCAATCTCGCCTCTATCATCTTGTCAGTTGCCATGCTATACTTTTGATTAGTGCCAGCATACCGATTGGCAACCAGGATTCTTTGAATTGGTCGAGGCTGTATACGTCCCGACATCTTCATGCACTTTGCTTTCGTTGGTGATCGAGCTCAAAGTCGAGCAATTGCGATGACCACATGGCAGAATCATCATGATCATCGTTGTGATGTGGTGGTGAGCGAGCTCTTCGTTCTACAGATTGTACCTCGGCTTGCCATCGGGAAGTGGAAAGTGGAGGCGTGGTTGATGCCAAGACAAGTCAAGAGCTCATCAATACCGCAAGACCGTTTGCTTTCACATGTCGATGTCGCGGCCGTCATAAAAATGCGTTGAATTGAAGAATGCGCCTGCCTCTACATATCGTCATCACTCACTGACCGCCCGACCGACTGACTACCTCTCTACCAAAACGAATCTCATTCCTGGGTATATCCAGCACCATGTCAATGCATCAGCTCGTGCTCGTAAGCATTCCCCAACAAGCGCCATCCACGCTTCAAAATTGATATTCTACTTCATCAATCCGTCCATCTGAAGCTTTTCCTAGCCCGTAATGGAGACATGTTCTCCCTCCCAGGTGAAGGAGGAATGCTGCTGTCACGTCCTCGCAAGGACCACTGCTTTCGCAGCTGCTCGAATGAGCCTTTGCCGATCAATTCTTTGGCTTTTCTGGGCGATGCGTCCTACTGCGGCGCTCCAGACTCGCCATTCTCTGCTTTGCGTTGCCCGAACATGCTGCTGAGCTTGTCGCCGATCGCAGCAGGTCCGCCGCTGGGTCCCGGAGCGAGTTGACCGGGAGCGGCGCCTCCCTTGTTCATCCATCCGAACCAAGAGCTTCTGTTGGCCTGTTTCCTTGCGGCGTCTTCATCTACGTTCTCTTGCACGAGGCGCAGTGGTCGGGGTTTAGATCCCATCATGATGGCGCCCGATTGCTTGTCCTTTTCGCCTAAAGATGTTGTACTCCGAGGCGGCGACGAAGGATTGCTGCGTTCTGAGTTGATGCCGCTCGCAAGGTCATCATCGAGGACTGCAGCACCTGGATTGGAGATGACGCTGTTGCGGTTGCTCTGGCTGGTGAACTTGCTGTCGCGCTGTGCGTTCTCCTTTTCAAATGGAGCTATCTCAGCTATTGTCGGAACGTGCGAGCCTGAGGATGGGCTACGAAGTGGACTTCCGAAGAACGAATTCCGACCAGTTGGAGAGGTCAAACCAGGACTGAGAGGTCCTTGCGATGGGCCGCGATACATGTTCGGGACGACACTCGCAGAAGCTCCGGCCGGCCACTCAGAATTCGCGCGTCTATGGCCATTCGCACCACGTGTTGATCGCGATCGAGAAATAGGCACGCTCGGCGCCGTTTGAGGATCTTCGTTGAGCCCTGCGATTTTTTGCGGAGCCTCAATCTGGTCAGGCTGCACTTGCTGGCTCAACGGTCTGGTTTTCGGTCGGTTGCCACCCATGACACTCTTTGCCCTTTGCAGTAGACTTGGTTGTTGCTCGCCTTCATCAGGTGGTGGTGCTGGAAGATCCTTATTCTTGTCGGCCTCACCATATCTCCGACTGACGGCACCTGGTCCAGACATCAGATCCGGAGTCTTATCGAGGATCTGTTCGAATTGCTCATGCTGCAGAAGGCGAGAGATGATATTGTTAATATACAGCGTCAGCGCCTTATTCTGGTCCCGCAAGCCGTTTACTTCGGCCTGCAGACGTCGACTATGATCGGTCCCGTCATCGCTGTCAGCTTGCGACTCCAGCTCATCAGCCAAACTTGTGCCGCCCAAGCTTTCGCCAGTAGCAGGAGGGTTGCGTGAAGGTGGGCGTGAGCCTTCGTACGATGTTGCGTGTGACGCTGCTCGGAGGAAGTCTCCATTGAGCGTTTTCTCGGATAGCAGCAGCTGGAAGGACTCGTTCTCCTCCATCAGACGAGCGTTCTGCATCTTGGCATCGTAAAGCTGTTTCTGGATCTCCTGCACGCGACCACCTCCCAAGTGGTCTACTTCCACCAATTTTATCTGGGCCTCTGCAAGCTCCATGCGCAGTCCCTCGATTATCTTGTCTTTCTGCATGACCAGTTTCGAGTTGTTTCTCGAGGTGGAATCGCTTCGCTGGACGGAGGGCGGTGCGAATTGTCGATCCGTGCCGTCGGGGTTTGGAGACGGGTTGGTGCTTCTACCACTAGAAGGCCTCGACAACATCGGCCTCCTGTCGTCTTCGAGCCCAGCACGCATTTCTCGTTGTGCTAGCGACTCCTTCAGTCGCTGCATGGCGTTCTGCATCTCCTCTTCCCGTGCCAATGCCTCTTCCTTCTCTTTCGTTGTCGCAGCCTTCTCACTTTCGTATATCTGCTCCATTTCACGTCTCGCTCGTAAGCTTTCCTTCTTCTCGTTCTCCAAATCGTTAATACGTTCTGACTGCTCTGCAAAGCGTTCCTCCAACATGCCCTGCTCTTTCACCGCGTCGTCTAATCTCGCCTGGAGGACTGCTGCCTGCTTCTTTGACTCTTCGTAGGCGCGCTCGGCCTCGTTCAACTTCTGCTGCAATTCGTCCATCCTTGCTTGCTGCTCTGCTTTGGCCTCCTCTTCAGCGGCGGAGTCCGGTGTTTGTGTTTTCCTCGCTGCCACTCGCTCGCGTGCGGAAATCGGGGCGCCGTTTCTCACAGACTTGGTACGGTTTATGCCGTTAGCGGCTGTGCCTGAAGCGGTGGAAGTGCTTGAGCGCGTTGCATCTCGCGTCGGAGTAGTGGCGGAGATGGTGTTCGCAGCGTTGGGAGTGCGACGACCAGTGGCCGGGGTGGCCGGTTTCCTGTTAGGCGTTGCGCCAGACATTCTCCCTATTGTGGATGTTTGTTGTGAGGAGGTGGAGGGTGCGCTCACTGCCACTGCTCGCGACGCATTCGAACAGTGCGCTCACACTTTCGTTATCACGGTGCTGGGCCGGGCCTGCCCTGGGCGTCATGCGCAAGATCCAAGTCTAATAATAGGTTCAGGCAGGGCAGTACAGCGGGCGTGGGAGGCGGTGTTGCTGCGATTAGATCTGCATGTGAGATTTAAACGATAGGCAAGAACGGTGCTTGCATTTCGAGTCAAGTGAAGGCGGTGGAAAAGGGAGATTGCGATGGACTCGGAGCGCGATATCCCCATATCGATCCGCGCATCGATTTGTACTGTACTGCACATGCCAGCGGCGTCTCCACGGGAGTGTCGACAACCCTGCTGCCGAGCGCACGACGGGAGTTACCTGCTCGCTTCGGACGCAGAACTTCTTGAAGTGCCAGCTATCGCACAGTACTGTCAATGTCATAGCACCGAAAATCAGGCTTCACACTGCCAACCTAACTGTCCGGCTCGGGCTCGGCCATGATTCTTGGGAGGGATGGACGCAACGGCTGCACTTTCCCGCCCAGACGCGGCTCATTTTTAGCTTTCAGCCTTGCGAGCCTAGCGCGTTTCTCACACCTGAATCCTTGAACCGCAAAACTCACAATCACCTGAACCGTGTACCATAGAATTGCTTCACAGCATAGGCACAGCATAGCATAGTGCTGGGCATAGTCGCTTACACGGCGCCAACATGGCCGACCTTCGCACATATGTGTCTGACCACTTGCTCAAGCTGGTCGGCGGCAGCGAGGACATGATAGTGGATTTCGTGCTGTCCACTGCGAAAACGGCCAAGTCGTCGTCGCACTTGGCAGACAAGCTACGAGGCATGCTGGACTCCAACGATACTGATCTGAAGCGCTTCGCTGATGGACTGTATGCTCAGATCCCCCAGTCCAATGGCCAGTCTCTGCCGAAACGAGAAAAGCCGAAGGAATCGCGGAAGAAGTATGCCATGGTCGAGATGGAAGTGGAAGAGGAAGCTCCGCGAGAGACCGAGAAGAAGGAAAGCAGGGAGAAGAAGTCGAAGCATACATCCGATCGGGAGAGGCGAAGATCTCGGAGCAGAGAAAGGCATCGTGAAAAGAAGTCAAGAAGGCGCGATGGAGACTTCGATGATCGCTGGGGCGATGCTGAGGAGGATGAGGCAGAAGAAGAATTTCCCTCTCCGCCCGCAAAACGAACCAGATTTGATGAGCCCTCCCGATCGCCGCGCCGAGACAGCCCTGATCGCAAGTCTGAGCCGGAAGAGGACGAAGAAGAACGAGATCGAAAGGAGCGCAAAGCTTTTGAGGAGCGATTGAGGAATAAAGATGCTGGCAATACCAAGAAGATCACCGAAGATCGTTCGTCGAAGCGCGAGGCAGAGGATGAAAAGCGTAGAGCACAGGCTGGGAAGCTTTCAGAAGCCGAGATGAAGGCGCTGCGATTGCGGTCAAGACAGGACTACCTCAAGAAGCGGTCCACACAGGAATTGGCTCTCTTACGGAAGCAGGTCGCAGACGAAGCTGAAGAGGAGCGTACTAACCCTGGCCTGACACAGGAAGAGCGCGATGAATTCGCTCGCAATCGAGAAGCTCTTCGTCTGGCCGAAGCGCGAGAGAACATCGATGACCATCACGATGGATATGCCATGCCGGAAGACTACATCACGGAGAAGGGCAAGATGGACATGAAGCGGAAAGAAGAAGCACTCTACAGTCGTTACGTGGACAGAGATGCTCAAGGGCGGGAGCGGTACGTGACTGAACATGAGGAATGGGAGCGAGAACAGCTCGCCAAGACGAAAGCCCAAATAGTCGTGGCAGATCGGATCAACGAGGCCGAATACGAGTATGTCTTCGATGAGGAACAGCAGCTGAAATGGGTCACCGATGCGGCCATGAAAGGTGGTCTGAGTGACATGAAAACAGCTGAAGAGCGCATGTTGGCCCAGCAAATGCTTGCTGCTGAACGAAAGGCCAAGACCATCGAGGAGAAGCGCAAAACGTTACCTGTCTACCAGTATCGCGACGTCTTTTTGAAGGCTGTCAAAGACTTCCAGATCGTCATCATTGTCGGAGAGACTGGTTCCGGTAAGACGACCCAGCTACCACAATACCTCTACGAAGCTGGCTACTGCGAGAATGGGATGAAAGTCGGTTGCACTCAGCCGAGACGTGTCGCCGCAATGAGCGTTGCTGCACGTGTGGCGGAGGAAGTCGGTGTGAAGCTGGGCCATGAAGTCGGATATGCTATTCGTTTCGAGGACGCAACCTCTGAGAAAACGAAGCTGAAGTATATGACGGATGGTATGCTACTCAGAGAGTTCTTGACTGAACCGGATCTGGGTGGCTATAGTGCTCTCATGATTGACGAAGCCCACGAGCGGACTCTGCATACTGATATTCTCTTTGGTCTCGTCAAAGATATCGCTCGTGGACGACCAGACCTTAAGCTTTTGATCTCATCCGCCACGCTTGACGCTCAGAAATTCAGTGAGTTCTTCGATGATGCACCAATTCTCAACATTCCCGGACGAACTTACGATGTCGAAATGAATTACTCCCTCCAACCCGAGGCCAACTACCTCTCAGCCGCCATCACGACCGTCTTCCAGATTCATCTATCTCAGCCAATGCCGGGAGACATCCTTGTCTTCTTGACCGGGCAGGATGAAATTGAGCAGGCGGAGCAGTCGCTCCAAGAGACAGCTCGAAAGCTTGGCAGCGCTGCGCCAGAACTGATGATCTGTCCCATCTACGCCAACCTTCCTACTGATCTGCAACAAAAGATTTTCGATCCAACGCCGCCTAAAGTGCGTAAGGTCGTCCTTGCCACGAACATTGCCGAAACAAGTTTGACCATCGACAACATTGTATATGTCATTGATCCTGGCTACGTCAAGGAGAATCGATACACTGCAGCCACCAATATGGAGTCTCTCGTGGCAGTGCCCATCTCGCGTGCGTCTGCAAACCAGCGTGCTGGACGAGCAGGTCGAACGCAACCCGGCAAATGTTTCCGCCTATACACCAAATGGGCCTACTACAACGATCTGCCCGAGAGTACGACACCCGAAATTCAGAGGACAAATCTAAACAGCATCGTACTCATGCTCAAATCCCTCGGCATCAACGACCTGATCAACTTCGATTTTATGGATCCACCGGCACCCGACATGCTCATCAAATCACTCGAGCAGCTTTATGCTCTCGGCGCCTTGAACGATAAAGGCGAACTGACCAAGATCGGTCGTCAAATGGCCGAATTCCCCACAGACCCCATGCTCGCCAAAGCAGTCCTCGCCGCAGACAAGGAAGGCTGCGTAGAAGAAGTCCTCTCAATCATCGCCATGCTCGGCGAAGCCTCCGCCCTCTTCTACCGCCCCAAAGACAAAAAACTCCAAGCCGACGCCGCACGCGCCCGCTTCACCTCCAAAGAAGGCGGCGACCACATCTCATACCTCAACATCTGGAACCAATGGGTCGACTCCGATTTCAGCTACGTCTGGGCCAAAGAAAACTTCCTCCAACAGCGCTCCCTCACCCGCGCCCGCGACGTCCGCGACCAACTCGCCAAACTCTGCGACCGCGTCGAAGTCACCCTCTCCACCTGCGGCGCCTCAAACCTTCCCCCCATCCAACGCTCCATCACCGCCGGCTTCTTCCCGAACGCCGCACGCTTACAACGCGGAGGCGACAGCTATCGCACGGTCAAGAATAATTTGACAGTCCATATCCATCCTAGCTCCGTACTTATGGATGTACGACCGAAATGGGTCATCTTTTATGAGTTGGTTTTGACGAGTAAGGAGTTTATGCGGAGTGTTATGCCTTTGCAACCTGAATGGTTAATGGAGGTTGCGCCGCATTATTATAAAAGACAGGATGTTGAGGCGCTTGGTGGGGTTGAGAAGAATGTGGCGAAGATTGAGGAGAGGAAGAGGTAGTAAGAAAGTGTAGACCCTTTTTTCCTATATCTTTACTATCGAATTGCTGTTCGAATGCTAGTCTCTAGCTGCTATTACTACCTCTGTCTTCTCCCCCTATCCGATATCGTCTATACACATACACACACTCTCTCTCTCTCTTAAACTGTCCTACTATTAGTTACTATTGCGTACGTTATATACTAGGACGTTACGTTTAGTCGCGATAGGAAGTAAGTCGATTAGTACTCCTAGATTTTCGACGTTTGTTGTTTAGATACTAGCTAGCCTCCCTATAGCGATAGTAGTAGTAGTAGTAGTAGTAGTAGTAGTAGTAGTAGTAGTAGTAGTAGTAGTAGTAGTAGTAGTAGTAGTAGTAGTAGTAGTAGTAGTAGTAGTAGTAGTAGTAGTAGTAGTAGTAGTAGTAGTAGTAGTAGTAGTAGTAGTAGTAGTAGTAGTAGTAGTAGTAGTAGTAGTAGTAGTAGTAGTAGTAGTAGTAGTAGTAGTAGTAGTAGTAGTAGTAGTAGTAGTAGTAGTAGTAGTAGTAGTATCTACTACTAATCGGACTAGTATTAATATGTAGCTTCCATCGACAAAGGCGTGTGGTGGACGTTGGCATGTAGTTCCAATGACAATAGAGGTTCTAAAATCGCTTCACTTACAATTAGTGGCTTTGGACACAGAATGACTGACCTCGCTTCGACTCTTCCCATCCCACTCAGCTGATGGTCAAATACTATGGACTCGGCATCGCAGATAGCACTTCCAGATCAAAATTCTCTCAAGGAGCGCAGCGTGGTGGCGGTTGCGAGTGGTGCCAATGCGTGAACCGGGGATCTCATATACATATGAGAATCCATGTCCCGTCCCGTACCCACAGGCTGATTCGTGCCAGGCCCTATACTCCGTCACATGCGAGCCATGTGCAAACGAAAGCGCACAAGGTCATATAAGTTGAAGCATCATCGGACGTGTAAATCATCTTTGCAGTGCTGTCTACCTCCCAAATTTCCCATCCCATGATCCAAACGACGCCTCGCTTCGCAAATGATGATGCTTCGAAGAAATGGCTGTCGGGTATATATCATCGTACATGGCTCGTCAAAATCATTTGAAGATTAATTACGTCCCTCCAGATTGTGGCGTCGTCGAAAAAAAAAATCCTTTCTTTATCGCATGCTCACAAAGGCGTTTTCGATGTTGTTGGCAATTAAATCGAATTGGCTGAGTCGTTGGCCAAAGTATGGCTTGTCGGCATCGACGCTGGCTGATCTGTATTTCTTCGCGTCGTGAAGGTTGATGTCGCCAGTAGTTGGGATGTATGTAGCAGGACTGCCGTTTTCAGGCACAGATACCAGGTTCGAAGATGATCCGTTTCCAGACATGATGAGCGAGCTTCTTGATCGACGCCATGACTGGAGTGGTGCGGCCTGCGTTGGTGACATGGAGATCACCTCAACATCATCGTTGTCATTAGTTTGGGATGGTGTGGCGGCTTTGCTGGGCTGCTGTGCCTGCAGCAGTGAATTAGGATGCGAGGTGAAAGTAGCGGGCTGTTGTACTGGTGGCGAGGCCGGGATTATCTCAAGCTTGATGTTGCCAGACAGTCGCCTGCTCGCAGACAACTCGTTCTCGGCTACCGGCTTGATCTGCTCGGCTTGCTGCGATTGCTGGAGCGGCGTTGAGTTGTGAGATGTGTGCCCGTTGACACTTTTGTTTGCCACTGGACTTGCGTTTCTCAGGCGATCCAAAGGACCGAGCGCTTTTCTTACGGCGCCAGGACTGACACCTCGCACGCTAGCTAGGGATGGAGTATTTGAATGGCGTCGCATGGGAGAGATGGATACTTCAGTGTCTGGGGTCCTTGAATATTCTTCTCTGATAGGTGAAACTGATCCCGCAACGCTGCTGTTGGTTGCGCCTGCTCTGGTTGGTGGTGTACTTGAATTTTCTGGTGTCATGGAGGTGGAAGTGATACTGCTAGAATGTCCATTTGTTCCACGGACGCCATAGGTGACGCCGCCCGGCGGCTGTGGTTGTCATTTCGTGTGCGTCATCGGAGTTGGTATTTGCGGTGGCTTGTTGGACATGGCTGACGTTGGGGTGGATATGGGTAGAGATGGTGGCAGCTTCTCTTGCGAGTTCGGGGAGCTGATGGCGGCTTTTCGTGATGCAGCAGATTTGCTGAGGTGGGTGAGCATGTGAGACGCTGCCAGTCCATATCTGCACTTACCTCTTTCGTCTGAATCTGCCAGTACCAAACAGCTTTCGGAAGCCGCGCGACTCCTCTTCAACGGGCATCGCCAGAGTTTGCTTTTACATGGTCAGCATTCTCTTCTCGACAACGAGAATGTCCACATACCTCATGGCTCTGTTGAGTGCTAGAATGCGCACTGTCTTCCTCACTCCCATTTCGTATGCCATTGTGTCCGCCTGACTGCAGCAGGCCTACAGTGGGAGGAGCCCATCGATCTTCGTCACCACAGACAACGACATACCAGCCCACTTTCTCTTCTGGCGCAATCTTGTCTCGTAGCTCGCAGAGAGCAGACCATTGCTCGTTCCCAACCCCTTTTGCGCGGAACTCATCGATATCTATGCCCAGTTTGACCTCTTCGCATATATCGGCAACGTATGCGTATGGTTGGCTAGATGCGCTCGAGGAGATATCGTTGGGATCGTACTGCTCCACGAACCGTAGGTCCGGGAGGTGTGTCATACATTCTGGGAATAGCTCTTGAAAGTTGTCGAGAAGCGCTTTTGTCGTACCAGGCGCAACCAACCATTCTGCAGCCGCATCGTCCAAATTCTTCAAAATGATATGTATTCGAACAAGCGGTCGTGGCCAGCGGAAGCCATGTAGCAGATACACTGGCATTTTGAATCGGTCGAGAAGGGCGTGGCAGTGGTAAGGTAGAAGCCACCTGTGTTTGTGTGCTGGGCTCCGAGAACAACGGAGGATGCAAGCTCTTCGGACGCTGAAAAGGCTGTGCCTTGTGGTTGTGGATTTGATGTAGTCGTCGCGCGTAGTAATCTGGCGGGAGCTCAGGAAGCTTTCCGGGTTTCAAGTGCAGCAATTCTGTACGCGAGGGAAGGGATGATGTGAAACGGCGGGAACTCGATACTGTGACTCGCGTACAGAAAGGCAATTGAGTACGTTGAGGTCTCCGTAGTAGCGGACTAGCGGTGGAGCGATTGACGATGGCAACGTTGCACACTACAGCAGCGCGTATATGCAATGGCTCGCTCGGCTCTGCTCGCCAGTGGCATGCGCGATCATGCGCGATCAATTCGGACCCAGCTGACCGCCGTCTTCCTGCATGTATCCGTTGTGATATCTTGCGGCCGGCCGATCCGCACAAGCAAATCTGGTATAGCAGGCGGGAGCAGTGGTGTATGGATCACTAAACTGCAGTGGCCGGCGGGAGGTGGTGCAGCGGTAGAGGATATGGCAGTAGAACTATGGCTACAGGTGTCGACCAGGGAGCATTGCGAGGAGTGGAGATCTGGTTGCGGTCTGTGGCACCTGCAGGCTGCCGAAGGCTTGCACCGGATAATTGTCCATTGATCCCATTGATGGGTAGTTTAGTAGAGGGATATTGGATGGATGTGCTTGCGAAGTCTCAACGCAGTACGAGAGAGATATGATCAGGACTACAGGAGAACTACCTTGCACAGCTAATGTAGTAGGTGGCAGTAGTTCTACCTAGCACTGTGAGAGCAGTATTCTGACATGCAAAAGGGTCGGGATCCGGGGGTCGGGGTCTATACCACTATTGTTAGCAATTCTAGACAATGCTGTCTATAGTATTTCTTTAACTAAACTATACCTCTATATCGTCGAAAATAGCTAAATTTCAGTAGTATAGCTATAACTAAGGTATTGTTATTGTCTATTATCTCGCTCTTATTAACTAACTAAATACGCTATACCTACTCTTACTATATACGATAACAACCTAATTTAATACTGCCTCGACGATAGCTAGTCCTTCGAGGAGGTATCTAAGCTCTTACTATCGGACGGCTAAGAGTCTCGTACGGCGATTTACGTACGAATAAAAAGATAGAAGGAGTTAGGTACTATTATACCGAAGAAGAGTAGTCGACTACGTATAATTACGCCGACTATACGCGATTTAGTAATAGCAATAATGCTAGAACAGCCGTCGTTATAGTATAAGGAAATATAGTATTATCTACTAAATAAGTACTTAGAATAGATTAGTTATAGCACTATCTAGCGGTTATTAGTAAGCGAGCAGTTTACCTACAAATTGCAGGCGCGTACTGCTAAGTAACGAGATCTAGTCGTAAGAGCTATATTCGAGGCCTAAATATAGCGATTTAGTATAGATATATTTGTCTATATAGACAAGAGTTATATAAGCGACCGAGTAGCCTATCGAAGGCGTAGATAGGCTCTAATAGGTATGCCGGCGCGCGATATAAAGCACCTACACTATACCGAGCGCTTCTCGTTATTGCTAGTATATACGTCTCATAGGTATCTCGAGGACCCTCTTATTAAGTAGGGCAGTATAAAGATAGTAGACTTCCTACTATAGTTATAGGTATACGTACTGCCGAAGATAGGTCGGTATCTAGCGCCTTAGTCGGTATTATTAATAGACAACTACGCGACCTATAGTCGCGAGCATATTACTACTCTCTATCGCGAGGTAGGTATACGAGTACTATTCTTACCGCCGTATTCGCCTAATTATATGCTAATCGAGAAGAGCTTCTACTTGCTAAAGCACTAGATACGCCGCAACTAGAAGTTAATACTAAAGTATAGTAATAAAGAGTAGCAAGTTAAGTTTAAGGAGTTCTTAAAAGTTAGTTGCCGAGAATAGGCGAGAGGGGTCGACTATATTGCTATATTTAAGGACTATTATATACTAGAAACACTATACTAAGAGATGCGTACTATATAGTACACTTCTATATAAGATATCTATACTAAATAAATCGTCGCAGTCGGCGCTATATAGCGATATAAAAATCTTATCGTTACGGTCGTTATATAGTTAATACCTGCTCGCTATCGCTACTACCGCTATATAGACTCTACCGCTAAGCTATGTCTTTATACCCGTACGGAAAGCCGGCAAGCTCCGAGCTTAGTTTAGCGTTCTACCCGATTCGGTTATACTATTTAGCGTATTCCCTTATACTAACTACTATTAATTAATTTTTTTCCTATCGTAGAAACTAGCTTGTCTAGTGCATTTTAAAAAAAGAATAACGTTAATCGGATATATAGTTGTTATATTATAAAGCCGACTATAGAATTTCCTCGAATTTATAAAGTCGCTCGACTCTCGAGCTAGAGTTAGAGGTCCGATATCTAGTCTATAAGCCGACTCTAGCTAACATATTTATATTACTAAATAACTACGTATCCGATTAGCTTCATTTTTTTTTATAATATACCGACGGCACTATTCGGAAAGATGCCGCCCTTATTTATATAGAGAGAATAGTATTATATAGTGTTCTTAGTATATAAAGCTAGCTCGGTTTTGCCGCTAGAATAACCGAGAGTTTCGCCGACCCCGCGAAGCGAGTCTAAGCGACCTCCGGCATTAGTCTATAGTATTACTAATATCGATCGTATAGTTAGAATATACTACATTTAAAGGATACTAATTAATTTATATGTCCTATATAAATATATACTACTTAAAGATGCTTCTTATATATAGCCGGAATTTTTCTAATAGTTATAGTTAAATACAGACTAAGCTAAAGTATTAAAGCCGGTTTAACTGCTATATAGCTTATAGCTCGTCGTTAGTCTCGTCTTCGGTAGTAGTATTAGTACTATTATTCTCCTTCGCCGCCTCTTTATCTTCTAATATAATATTGCTATACTCTATAGCATTTATATATATCTTTATATCTTCCCTTATCTTCGTGCGTAGTCTAAATAGTAGCACATTAACCGCTAGGTCTATATCCGGGTCCTTCTTTATTATTTGCAGTGTCTAGAAGCCCTCCTTAATATAAGGCTTCGCCTTAGCAATTACCGCCTTCATTTCCGGATACCTCTTTATAAGCTAGTCGTAGTACGGCGGTACGTACTTTAACCTATTTAGAATAGCAGCCCTGCTTTCAATTATCGGCGAAGAGCGTAGATTTAGCGGCGGAGGTAGATTGAGCTAAGCTAGTTAAGGCATTATCTAAGGGAACGAGAAGCTAGGCGGTACGGCGTACGAATTAAATAGTAGTATTAGACTATACTATAGTATTATCGCAGGTGCCTCTTAACTCGACTATTGCTTCTTCTTGCTACGCAATCTATCGGTATAGTTCTTAATAATAGTGCTAATAAGAGAGCCTAGTATATTATCGATTGTAGTAGTGCCTACGGTAATAGACTCGCGCTATTCCTCGAGGTATAAAGCTATAATAAAATAATAGGTCCTATTATACTATATATAGCAACTAATAACACCTAAGGTCTTGTTATTAGCATACTATAAGTTAGGATAATAAAACTTAGCTAGGAGTGTCTTATAGACCTATCGTAACTCCTTATAAGTAGCGATAGTCTTCTCGTTAGCGTTACGAGTTAACTTAATGCCCTTTTCCTTCTATATAGTAGGTAGCTTGTCTTAGTCCGATTTAATAAGGTCCGCATCGTCCGAATTAAGTAATATAGTAGCCTTGCTATACTAACTCTCGCTAATAATAATAGTAACTAATCGCTTTGTTGCAGTATAATACTATATTATCTTATCGATATATAGAAGGTCCTTAATATTATTAAATTAAATAGGATCGGCTTCCTTCGAAGAGCCGTATTTTACGGCCTCGATAATAGCCTCTCGATTAATAAAATAGCACTATATTCTACACTTGTCTATATAGTCTCTAGCGCTCTGCTTAGCAGTACGAATAAACTTAGCTATTATGTCTACGTCGCCTTTATATATAGTAGTCTATATACCTACCTATTTAGCCTTATTATATATAAAGAGCGTCTTATAACAAATCTTAGCTAATAGCGGTTAAGAGGCCGTAGAAGGTAGAGGGGGTTAAGTATCGGATTGCTTACTAGTAGGTATAGATTTACGTACGCGTTTCTCGATAACTACTATACTAATTTTATCCTAGTTACTTAGAGGTCTATTAGGTATACCTTAAGCATTATTTAGCGCGTCGTTTAGTATATTAGCGGCGTTACGTAGTTGTTTAGTAGCCGCCGATCGTTTGCGCTTCTGCGAAGCCTACGACTCTAACCCCTTCGACCTCTTTATCTTCGACTTTACGCCCTTCGTACTACTAGTACTCTTCCGCTAAGTAACTAGTACCTTCGAGCGGGGATTAGTCTTTGTCTTAGCGCTAGTTTTAGCTAGTTTCTAGCCCTTCTAAGAAAGAGTCTTCCCTTAGACACTAACCTACGTACTCGGCGGTAGAGTAGGTATCTATACTTACGTATTCGATAGTATACTATCTACTAGCTTCTACCTCTACCTTATTCTTTCTATTTCTTCTTCTTCTTCTTCTTCTTCTTCCTCCTTATCTACTATACTCGGTATACGGAAGGGGTTGGCACCTAGTAAATCTATAGTATATAGCTCTTTAGCCGACTGTTTTTTATCCCTTCGTAGTGCCGCCGCTACTAGATTATAAGCCTATATATCTTCGATATATTATAAGGCGTCGATAAGGTCTTCTAGTATATATTAGGTCTTAGGTAGTAGCTCGACTGCCGACAATTAGTTAAAAGCTGCTTAGGCAAGGGTAGCGAGGCTAAACCTGCTCTTCGGATATACTAAATCTAACCTAAGGGAGCAATTAAATAGTAGCGACGATAAGGTATGCCCTATAGAATTGTCTGAAGCTTTAGAGGGCATAGTTTGCTAAGAAAATGGCATAATAATTGCTATCTGAGTGCTATACTAAATTCCGAGAGGTAGGTAGTAGACCCACCCCGGCAATCCCGACCCTTTTGCATGTAAGAATAACGTTAGGGGTTCGGCGGCACATCAACGGGCGCCATTGAAGTGTATCCTAACGTCCACACCTCAGCTATATCAACCTGTGCAACAACGCCAGCTATCTGACAGATCGCCAGCGCATGCGTCGCCGTGCAGGCGAAGGCTGTTAAAGTTGCATGACTTACAGGCTGCCGTAGATCTTCACCTCGTCACCCAGCTGATTCGTGCCTGACTACGACCGGCCTCGACGAGGAAGTAAGGAAGTACCTCTCGACACATGTCTCACATCAGCGTTAAGCTCTAGCCTCTGCTGCGTGACGGTGGACCAAATCTCAATCGAGCTAATTGTCGGGCAAAGATGGTACTGCATCTGCTGGGTAAGAAGTCTTGGAATGTATACAACAGCGACAACGTCGAGCGCGTGCGACGGGATGAAGCAGAGGCCAAAGCGTGGGAGGAAGCTGCTGAGCAGCGCATGCAGGAGGAAGATGCACAGCGTAGGATAGCTTTACTGCGCGGTGAGAAGGTGGCACCGTTGGTCGAGGACGTTGAACCGCCGAAGCAAGACGACTGGCGAAGATTCAAGCACGACGATACGTATGACAGGAGAGATCGCAAGCGGAGACGGCTTCGAGGCGAGGATGATACGGATCGCGATATACGATATGCGAGGCAAGACACAGACACCGGGAGCCGGGCCACGCAGGAATTGCTGAAGAGGAAGGACAAGGAAGCGCCGCTGCAAGATCATGCTGGCAATATTCAGCTCTTCCCAGCTCCGGACGAGAAAGCCATTCGGGCTACGCAGAAGAATGAGGAGGTGGAGGCGGAGAAGGCGAAGAAGCGGAGAAGGGAGGAAGATCAGGTAACGATGCGCTTCAGCAATGCAGCTGGATATCAGAATGGCATGCAGAAGCCTTGGTATGCGGAAAGCGACAGGAAAGTTTCGACCACGAGCTCCGACCCGATTGAGTCACGAAATGAGCTGATGCTGGCGGAGCTCAAAGGCAAAGACGTCTGGGGCAATGAAGATCCACGACGAAAAGAGCGAGAACAGAGTCGCATCTCCTCCAACGACCCTTTCGCGGCGATGCAGTACGCGCAGAGGCAATTGAAGCAGAGTGAGCGGGACAAGGAGGCCTGGCACAGGAGACAGCAAGCTGAGATGGAGCAGTTGAAGCTAGAGCAAAAACGCGAGAAAGATGAACGGCGGCGACGACGAAACGACGATGATGAGGACAGTCTGAATGGCTTCAGCCTGGACGCGCCGGTCGAAGAGGAGCGTGGTCGTGATAGACATCACAGGCATCGGCACTCGCGACATCGAAGTCGTTCGAGGGAACGCGAGCATCGGCATCGACACGGCAGTCGAAGCCGCTCAAGAGATCGCGAGAGGCACAGCAGTCGGCGGCATCATCGGCATCATGGAGATAGAAAGCGCGATTGACATGATACCCATACACAGCGAGAGTGATTTCTTTAGCAATACCTCTGCACGAGAACAGTACATCTTCCAAGAATTTCTAGCAGATCAGAAGATCTTGCCTACGCTAGCTAATGGATCGAACTTGGAGCAGACCTGAGGAAGCTTTACAGGATAAGGTAGTTCTGTCCCCGAAGCTTGGACTTCGCAAGAATATAGTATCATCCGACGGAACCGAGCCCCAGGATGGCGAATTGCAGCGAAGAGGCCACGCCGGCCTAGAAAATCATGAGGTTGGTTGCCGCTCTGACTCTATGGATGCCTGTTGTGAGGAACCAGACGCGAGAGCAACTGGAACTGGCACGAGCATATAATGGCTGCTGCAAGGCCATCTCAATTGTATCCCATCCACTGAGAGATTACCTGTCTCAAGTTTCCTCTCACATGTTGTTCCAGACCCACTGCGCCGCTTCGAACCAATAAATCCGCACATTCTCCATGACCATTGCGTCGAGCTAGTGCCAAAGCCATGCTGCACGAAGGAAGTTCAGACTTCCACGCTGTGATCAATTGTGGACGAACAACAGCTGCGCCATGGCGGATGAGAATGCGCAGATTTGCGAGCTTTCCCGCCTCCGCTGCGAGCATGAGAGGAGTGCAACGTTTATGGCTAGTCGCCGTCTCAAGACTCGCGCCGGAATTTATAAGCGCCTGTAGAGCTGCAGCATGTTCGGAAGCTGCGACTTTATGTATCGCTCCGCCTTCCCAGCGATCTCGAGACTGGGAGTCTTCCCAAGAAGCGTACGGCGACGCAGCTATCCATTCGCGGGCTGGAGCGTCAACGTCTGCTCCACTTTCAGCTAGAGCAGGAAGGATAGCAGCTTGACAAGCAGCCAGGAAAAAGGGTGGACAAGATGTGTGCTTGTAAAGCCACCTGTGTCCTTCAAGAAGACGTTCCACCACAACATGATGGACATCAATCTCTGCGTTGGCTTTGAGTAGCATCTCCACAATCGCCACATGTCCTGATATACACGCGGCATGCATTACTGACCCATCCCAGCCTCCCGGAGCATTTACATGCGCGCCAGCGGCTAGCAGGAGCTCGACTACATCGGCAGATCCACTGACATAACGCTGTTCCATGTTTTGGACTTGAGGCGTCAAAGTCGCAAGCAGCATCTACAAGGCGTCGCACTATTCCCGCGTGACCTTTGGCTGCTGCCCAGTGAAGAACCGTGCGCCCTTACCACGTTGGACACTCACAGCTCGCCCAGGCAGGATAAGGAAGCGAATGCCGGCCTGAAACCTAGGTAGCCACACTAGAGCTCGGCAATAGCTGGCAACGTTGAGCAGTCTTGGTGAACAAGAGTGAGGATTGATAGGGATCGACTCAAAGAGCGTCCTCACAGATTTTCCAGACATTCAAGACAAGTGCTTCTGGCTGTGCCCTTCTAAGTGCGCTGGCAATTATGCATGTCCACTCCTGTCGCGTCTTCTCTTTCTGTCTTACCATCCTTGACATGTACAGTAATTCCACGCAATCTACCTAGCCCTCCTTCTCAGCAGCTCCTCTCCGACCACCAAACCAAGTTTCCGCAAAATGAGTTTTTCTATCGCCGGCCGCTGAATAGGTTTATGGAGGGAGGCATGGTAGTCGCTCGAGGAAGTGGAAGAAAAGTCGTACCCGTCGATCGGCGGCGTAGCATGGAGAGAATCCGTTATCGAGATCAACTCGGCCTGCGTTCCGTTCAGCTTCCTCCGTGTGACCGCCTTCGTCGGGCAGGTGGTGTGGTGTGTATCTCGAGCGCCATCTGCGGCTTCCAGAAGCGCCTCGCACGCGAATGTGCAGCCTTTACCACGAGGTTTCTGCTTTTTGTGCTCACGTGAGGCGTCGACGAGAATTTTGATACAGAGTGGCGTTGTTACTGCAGATGTTCACGGCCATGCGCGCGCTCGTGGTATTCATGGCAACGCCAACGCCGTACTGTGTTGCGCGCCACCCACGCCCCAACCTGTATCTGCCTCGCTCTTGATCTATTCGTTGTTACCGAGGTATTGTCCATTTGCTACTGCACTGCCAAGTCGCAATGTCAAGCACACATGCTCGCACGGCAATACTCGCTTCAATTTGGGCGTGCGGTATCCTCCAGCATTCTGTCCATTGCAAGATCGCCTCTTCCGCAAGCTCCTCACTGCGCGGCGCTGCGCCTCGAGCTGCAGTCAATCGCTGTTGTAGTATCCGCGTAGCCCCCATCGCCGCCCCTGACCACGCAACAGCCCACGATGTCACGTCGCACCGTTGCCTGCTCTGCTCTTCTTCTCAAGCTCTTCGCCACAGCGGAGGGGACTCATGAAAAAAGTGAGAGTTCGCGTCAGCTGGAGATAGTGCGATGCCAGCGACACGGTGACAGACGGCATAGGCAAGCCCAGCGGCCGCCCGTCGAGGGCCAAAAATGAGTATAATCGTTGAAGTGGCCGTAGCCACGTTTCAGAGATTAAACTGAAAAGAACAGATACTACACTTGATCTAAGCCAAAAGGCCTGTGAAGAGGATGTTAGCTGATGGTGGTTGAATGTTGGGGGTCGGTTGTGACTCACAAAGAGAAGATGAAAAAGGGGAAGAAGATTTGGCTGCCAGCCGAGCAAAGATATGAAAGCGCTGTCTCTCGGATTCGGATTTCTTGCTAGCGTGCTGTAGTGTGCAGCCGTTCTGGAATGAACTTCAGAAGTGAAATTGTGAAGCGTTTCTTAGTACTAGGTCTTTTTGATGGCTTGCAAATTCATCGCTCTCACTTCACTGCATCGTACTGCCGGAAGACACCCTCGACTCCGATTTCCGCAGAGGCGCATCAGCTGGGACGAGACACTCCTGATCCAGAGGTGGAACGACCTTTTCACTTTTCACTATCCGACTCAAGCCTCTTCGCTTATTCGAAAGCAAGATATAGAAGAACACTTTGATTTAAGGTTACAAAACACATCAACTTCGCGAGCAAGAATGAACCATTCAACCCTTTAGAATTCGTTCGAAAGTGTCCGTTTTGGATGCCTCTCAACGCGACCATCTTGATACCCCTTCAGCCCTGTCTTGCCAGCAACCAACACCAAACAACTCTCGTCCTGGTCGAGCATGTGTGCTCCGTATCCGACATGGGCTTGAACCAGAATGGTGGCTTCTCAACCTCGAGCAAGACTCTGGGCTGGTGGTCTCAAGCCTGACCAAGCACGTCCGTCAAGGCTGTGTGTCATCATGAGACAGATTCGGCGGGTCCGTAAAGGTGATTATCAGAGTCGTAAATTCTTCATCACTTCTATCCTCCTCAGCTTCTGACCTGTTTCCTTCCAGAGGCGTCGTGCTTGCCTGGAGTTCTGCAAGAACGACTGCCTCCAGCTGGCCAGCCAGACCACCTGCTTCCGTCAGAGGGGGTTTGAGTGGAGGCAGTTCCTGACTCTCAATACTTCATCATCTTCTTCATCTTCTTCATCATCTTCTTCATCATTTTCTGCACACCTCCATATCTTCCGCACTACAATCAAGCATGAAGTTCTCCACGACCTACATCATTCTAGCATCGGGCATCTCCTTCGTCGCGGCATCGAGCTGCACGCATGATGTCGCTTATGACTGGCCTCATAACTCTGGGGTATTGGGAGAAGACGACACTAGCGATGCTACCTACGACGAACTCGAAGCTCGAGGACAGTGCAATGCACAAGATTGTGTCGGAGAGACGCCCGGAATAATGACGGCGAAGACGAAGAGACAGTCCACCGTTCTTCAGTGTGGAGACAACGAGACATGTTTCTTGTTCATTGACGACTCTCTTCTATGCATGGATGTCTCGAATGGTGAGAGAATCTTGTGCGTCGCGATGTCCCCTCGTTCGTCTGACTGACTTGCCGTACCAGGCGACTATCACAACGACGCTGGTGGATCAGGAAATGCCATTTCAGGCCTCTATACTGTTTCCGATGGCTATGTCCGGTCTGTCCCTGAATTGACCGCCGAAGCGACCACGTCTGCGATTGCTAGATCCGCCAGCACGCCGGTGTCCTCGTCACCTTCGCTCACGACGGAAGATATTACTTGGACGGAGTCGGGCACAGCTACTACAATATCCGCAAGCTGGACGAGATCGACCGCTGGTGCTTTTCCTGCGACAAGACTTGGATCTGGGGTGGCGGCGATGGCAGCGGTGCCGATAGTGGCATTTGCGTTGTGAAGGGGTGTCGCATCATCCCTGAAGGGCCTGGGAGATTCAATGATGGCTTCTTACAGCTCTACTTTGAGGGCTTCAAACTTGGATATGTCGACAGGCCTATGATCCAGACCTGCGTTCACGACCTGAATGGGAGTAGTGGGCTTGTCTGCCTATTGAAACAGATTCTGTAGCCCCTCCCATATGTCCAAGAACAATCTTTTGCTGAACTGCTTGGCAAGTTGTCTGGGCCGAGTAGATGCATATTGACCACCAAATGTCTTCCGAGAGATGCGTGCAGGCTAATTCATTGTCCGCGCGTTGCCCCTCCCAACAGGCGAGAAGCTTGTTTGTTGCCGCGTTCCGGGCAATCGCAGACGTTGATCCTCAACTTTGCGCGTCTCGTTCATCACGACATCCACGGCACTACTAACAAAGCAGGGCATTTCGACGGAAATGGCCGACGACTTGATCGATTTCAACGTGATCGAGGCTCAGAAGGAGAACATCCAGGCCCTCCCCTCGGGACGCTCCGCAAAGGCCCTCGCACAACTCTACTCGCCTCCACTGCTGGGCGCGAATCCATCACCCAACGACCAACACTCAGAGAGAAGAGCAGAGTTCGAAAGAGAACTCGCCAATATTGACGAAGCCGACGACCCTCTCGATGTGTACGGCCGATACGTGAAATGGACTCTGGACACATACCCTTCCGCGCAAGCAACACCACAGTCGCGTTTACTGCCTCTGCTCGAGCGCGCCACAAAGACCTTCCAGTCATCAAAAGAATACAAGAACGACCCGCGATATCTGAAACTGTGGCTTCACTACATTCGCCTCTTCCACGATGCGCCGCGCGAAGTTTTCGTGTTTCTCGCGCGACACGGAATCGGCGAGAACCTCGCGCTCTACTACGAAGAATTCGCGGCATGGCTGGAGAATGCCGGAAGGTGGAATCAAGCAGAAGAGATATACAAGCTTGGCATTGAGAAGGAAGCACGCCCGACCGAGCGCCTGATGCGCAAGTTCGGCGAGTTCGAGCGCAGGAAAGACGCGCGACCACAAGATGCCGCGGAGCCCTCAAGTCCAGCTCTACCAGTGGCACGACCAGCATTGGCAGCCAAACTTGATCCATTCTCCGAATCCTCCTCCCCAGCTCAGCAGGCGCAACCCACAGGAACGAAGAAACCGAAGAGCTCGAAGATGGCCATCTTCACAGATGACGGCGAGGAATCGAGACCTGCATCAGGTAGCAGCTCGAAAGGTTGGGATAGTATAGGAACTTTGGCAGATCGCAAAAAGGAGAACACGCGAGAAGCTAAGCCGTGGGCTGGTGAGACATTGAAGACTGGCAAGACAAATGGAGGAATGCAGAAGATGATGATTTTCAAGGACCAGGTAAGCACACTTCCACTCTCCTCTCGATAACCACATATTTACGGATGCAGGACTAAATATCGAATGTATGCAGTCAAATCAAAGAATGCCGCGTCACCTTACCTCCCAGTCATCGAGTAGTAATCATGGCGAGCAATGCGTCTTTAATGACAAGACTGGTATAATGGAGTGTGTCTATGTGAATTTGGAGGCCCTCTATCCTGTGCCTGGGAACCTTTCCGTCGAATACTGCTTCGAAGAGCTGAGAGCACGGAATCGAGGCTGGCTCAATAAGGGCGCGAAGGAAGTTGTGGAAGAGAAGAAAGAAATGCTGACCACAAATGATTCATTCTCCATCCATTTGGACACCCCTAAACAACCTGAGGTGCAAGAGAATCCAGAAGACATGATTTCAAATGGATCACCGCAAGTAACGAAACCTAAGGACCGCGGCTTCAAGATTTTCGAAGACGCCGAGTCGATACTTGCACCACAGCCACGAAAAGGACGCGAGGAGAAGATTTCCATCGAAACCTCAGTCAAGACTCTCTCACTCAACGACGAGAATGACGAGAATACGCCACCATCCAAGCAGGAGATTGACTTGGCGAAGAAGCTGCGGCGGGAAGAACGACAAAATCGTACTCGCAAGATCAAAGTGATGAAGGAGAAGCACATCAAGAACGAGACTCAGACAATCAAACTCAACATGGACTCGCCTCAATCCAAGCCGAAGCGTCGCAAGTCTGTCGCGCCTGAGCCAACCATGACCATCGCCACCAAGGAAGCCATGGAAGAGATTTATGGCATTTTCAATCAGCCACTTCAAGCACAGCAGACACAGGAAGACCAATCATCTGACGAGAGCTCTGAAGAGGAGGACGATTACACTACTGACGGTGAGAGTACTGCTACCGGCAAGCTTTCAGCGGCTGCAAGTGAGTATGGGGACGAGACTAGAGCAGAGCTTCTAGTTGCCGAGCAAAGTGAGGCAGAAGCAGATCGGACGGACGCCTCCGCATGGTCAGACTTTACCTCAAGTAAACATGTGCCCAAAGACGATACCGAAAGTGGGACGACATCAGCTCAGACTACTACTCGAGAAGGTTTCTCAGATCAGCCTACTGATGAGAACGAAGACGTCTCTACGCCGGTTGACGAGAACCCGCGAACAGAATATGTGCCATTGCAACCAGAAGACTATGAGCCTCCTCTGGTGCATATGCGCGATATGCACATAATCCCCAACCATCGCCTCCCATTCATGACTCCCATCGCAGAACAGACAGAATCGTCACTCGGTGGCGCCACCCAACGTTCAGAAAAGGACTTCTTTGGCGCGAAGACTCCTAGCAGGAAGAATGGCATGCCTGAGGACTTCGACGAGGATGACGAGCTATTGAGCAGTCCTTTCGACGACATTACGTCCGATCTGCCACCGATCCGAACCAAGAGCACGAAAGGGATGCTGAAGCTTGGCCAAGGTACGGCCAAATCGCAGATGGACGCAATGGTTGACGTACCGGTCGCAGCGGAGACGGTCTGCTAAGGAAGGGATCCTATATCT